GCACTTCCAGTCAGTGTAGCACCAAAAGCCCTGATTCCTGCCTTGTGCCAGGTCGGGGTGGGGCAAAGCCTGACCCTGGCCCTGGAGAAGCTGAGGCAGAGCCCATTCTCCACCCTCCTGAAGGTGACCTGGGCCCACCCAGACCTCAGGCACAGGGAAGTAGGGAAGGAACCTGGGTCAGCTGGTCTGGGGACCGCCTGGTTGTACAGCGCTCCTGGTGGAGCGGATGGGGGGGGGGGGGAGGTGGCAAAGGATCAGAGGACCAGCTCTAGGCCATCCTGACATTTAACAGATGGAAAAATCAAAGGCCTGAGAGAGGAAGAGAGGTGCTCACAGTTATTATGTGAATCTAAGTCTCTTGACTATTGGCTAATAGTCTTTGGCTATTTTTAGAATACATAAAACTAATGGTGAAGCTGCTGCAAAAAATTAACACCCCAAGCACCAGGCACAAAATGATTCTGCGGTCGCAGTGTCCCCTCCCTTAGTGTGGAAAACCAACATGGCCACCTGCCATGTTGATCTAGAAAAGGGTTCTCAGCCCTGGCTACACAATAAAACTGTCAGGGAAGCCTTGGACATTGCAGTGCTTGGGCCCCAGCCCTGGAGGCTTTGGGTCCATCAGTCTCAGGTGAGACCAGAGCCTGGGCATGTTTTCAAGACTCTTGACCAGACCTGAGAAGCGTACATTAAGATGATTTTGACTGCATATAACAGAAAACCCAGCTAACATTTGCTTAAAGCAGAAGGGTCTTCAGTCTTCACCTAATGAACCAGGGAGGGCGGACCAGCATTGGTTCAGGAGATCAACAATATCATGAAGGACCCAGAAGACCTAACATTCACTCTGTCATCTCATTGTACCGGCACAGTTCTCTTGGTTACAAGATGGCTGCTGCTGCTCTAAGCATCAAGTCTTCCAAGCACAGAGCAGGGGTGTGGGTGAGGAGTAATTTTCTTCACTGCTGTCTCTTGTATTAGGAAGATGAAAGTTCTTTCTAGGAGGCCCCTGCTGAATCTTCTTTATGTGTCTTTGGACAAAGCTAGGCTATATATATCCACCCTAAACTAGTCACTGGCCAGTAGAGTGAGATGCTTCCAACTGGCTTGGAATAATCATGATTCACGCATGGGAAAGGGCACCCTGTTGCCTGAAGAAAGCCAGGTTCTGTCAGAGAAGATGGGGGAACTGGCTGTTGGGTAGGTGGTAAACTTTAACCAGTCATTCTCTTCCCACGGCCTTGGAAAGAGGACCCAAGGTCAGGTCCACACAGGAACTACTGACCACAGCTCAGAGGGAGAAGTTGCAGCAGCAGAACACTTCTTGGAAGAAACTAGGCAGGCATCCTGGAAGAGGAGGCACTCACTCTGGGCCTTAAGGAATGAGAAGGGATTCTGAGAGTGCAGAAAGGAGGAACATGAGTCGGCACAGCCCAAGCAAGGGCACTGGGGTGGGAGCCGCAGGTGGGCTGGGGGAAAGGTGTGTCTTTGCCTTACCTGAAAGGTCACGTGTACAGAGGTTAGGGGGTGAAGGGAGAGTAAGAGCTAGACTCAAAGGGCTGGAAGTCCCAGGCAACAGGTGCAGGTAGAGGAGGGACTTGGTGAGGTCTGGTGTGCGGAGCATCCAAGGGGATGGTGGGTGGGTAAGGCTGGGACACCACCATGAAGGTCACTGCCAAGGCAGACAGGAAGAGATCCAGGTCTGAGCCAGCCAGGATGGTGAAGAGAGGCAGACTGAGGGGAGTGATAATCAGCAAGACTGGGGCAAGTCACAGTCATTGTTCCCAAATGCCTGTGTGCCAATAATCGGCTGTCTTCTGACCCGCAGCCTCCTCTAACTGTGTTTGGGAAGCCCAGACATGCTTCATAATAACTTTGCTAGTGCTGCATGGAGCAATAGTTGTGACCCTCAGGGCTGTTACCAGAATTGGAAAGGTATTTATCAAGGGCTCTCAGCCCTGGGTCAGCTCCCACTCATTGCCCCACCCCTGTGGACACCACGGTGTCCCACCACTACCCCGACTTTATTCTTTATTCTTTATTTTTTCTCCAAAGTTGTGGTTTCCGGTTACCTGTGGAGCATTACAATAGAGGTGTCATGCCTGGGCCACACTTCCAGAGATTCTGACTTCATTGGTCTGAGACAGGGCCCTAGCACCCATACTCTTAAAAACCTCTTTTATATACTTTTAAATGATTTTATTTTTTATTCTTTTTTATTTTTTTAATTTGAATTTAATTTAATTTTTTAATGTTTATTATTATGGAGACAGAGAGAAACACAGCATGAGTGGGGGAGGGGCAGAGAGAGAGGAAGACACAGAATCTGAAACGGGCTCCAGGCTCCGAGCTGTCAGCACAGAGCCCAACGCGGGGCTCAAACCCACGAACCAAGAGGTCATGACCTGAGCCAAAGTTGGACACTCAACTGACTGAGCCACACAGGTGCCCCTATTCTTTTTTAAAATTGATATTATTCTCTTCCAATAGGCTCCAAGCCCAACATGGGGCTTGAACTCATCACCCCGAGATCAAGAGTCACAAGCTCTAGACTGACTTGAGCTAGCCAGGCACCCCTACTTTTTAAGCAGATGTGTTACTGCTTAGTATAATGATCTCACAGAGGAGTGTAAAGATCACACCTGAGAGGCACCTGGGTGGCTCAGTAGGTTAAGAGTCTGACTTCAGCTCAGGTCATGATCTCACGGTTCATGGGTTTGAGCCCCACACAGGGCTCTGTGCTGACAGCTTGGAGCCTGAAGTCTGCTTTGGATTCTGTGTCTCCCCTTGTCTTTCTCTACTGCTCTGTCTCTCAAAGATAAATAAACATTAAAAAAATAAAATAAAAAAAAAAGATCACACTTGAACAGGCTCCTTACAAAGAGAACCAACGAGCCATGTAACCACTTGGATCAAGAAATACAGTGTGGCTGGCTCCTCAGAAGTCTGGCCGATGTCTCTTCCCAGTTAGTAACCACCAAATGTTACCATTGTGACTCCTGTCACCACAGTTCAGTCTGCCTGTGTTGGAACTTGATATAAATTGAATCATGTATACATGCTCTTTACTATCTGACTTCTTTCGCTTGTTGTGGTTTGTAGGATTCGGTCCATCGTGTGTCGTGGTGGTTTGTTTCTGTCGCTGGTACATCACGCAAATACACCACAGTGCGGTAACCCATTCAACGTTCAACCCATTCAAATGTCGATGGACGTTTGGGTAGTTTCCACTCAGTTTTCTTATGACTAGCACTGCTATGAATATTTCTGAACTTGTTTTATGGTGAATACATGTACATGGTTCTCTTGACCATAGAGCTAGGGCTGAAATTTGGGAGGCCATAGGATATGTTTGTTCAGCTTTAGCAAATGCCATCAGTTTCCAAAGTGGTTTTACCATTTGATATTCCTGCCAATGGTGGTGGGTGATTGGTTGCTCCACATGCCCCACACCTGCCGCCCAACACTTGCTATTGCTCATCTTTTCTCCTTGGGCCATTCTGTTGGGTAGACAGTGGTATTGCATTAGGGTCTTAATTTGAATGTCCTCCCAAACGCTTAGGAAGTCCAGCATCCTTACATTTGGTTATTGGCCACTTGGCTCTCCTTGGGCATCAGTTAGCTAGAGCCACAAGGATGCTGTGTAACAAAGCACCCCAAACAAGCACTTATTCTCGTGCTCTGGGTCTTCAGGTCACTGCAGATGGGCTGATATAGGCTTCAGGTTGCAAGCTGTTCTGGGAGGGCCTCCTCTGTGTGGGTTGGGCTCATGCTGCCCCAGGAAGGTTCACTCCGGGGCTCAGCGAACAGTGGCTTCAGTGTGGAGCTCTCCTGGCCGTGTGGAAGGTCAAGCCCCACCGCACACACACGTGCCAAGCAGCTGCTTTCTCACGTCCACCGACATTCACTAGGCAGAGCAAGTCACAGGGCCGAGCCCAATCTCAATATGGAAGGGAGCAGGGATACCCTGCCCCCAAGAAGAGGGGAGTGAATATTTGCTAAACACACCAAAATATAGCACTGGTACTTTGGGTACTTTTTAAGTGGCCTCATGGGTTCTAATGTTCTGCTGAGGCTGATAACTACTGACTTACAGTCACACCACACGTCAGCCAGTCCAAACAAAAAGGAGGCTTAGTTGATTTGACTTCATTTCCAAAAACCAGTTGATTCAGCCAAAGTCCATTTCTCCTTGAGGCAATTTCTTTCAAGAAGAGAGTCCTTGGAATTAACACGGCAAATTATTTTAATGATTGATTTTAACTAGATCATGCAGACTGAAGCGGCAGGCCCCTGTCTGATTTACCTCTAACATTCTCAGCCCTGGCACAGCACAGAGACAAGGAGACATGCCGGAATGGGGTGTTGTTGGAAGGAAGAAACATAAACATTGTTATGTAATCTCCGTGACGGCAGGGATTTTTGTCCGTTGGCATCATTGTTATATCACCAGTGCTTAGAGGAGCGCCTGACACAGAGTAGGTGCTCAATAAGCAATCGGTCAGTCAGTGAAGCATGCACACGTGTGTAGACAGGCTGTCTGGAGTGGAAAAATGAATGGTGGGTGAGCAGATGGTTGGTTGGATAGAGATGTAAGAGCGGTGAATGGGAGGGTGGGTGTATAAATGGACAGGTAGGTGGACAGATAGATCAGGGGATGGATCACGATTGGATGGATGGATGATTAGGCGGTTGGATAAATGGACGGATGTAGATGGGTAAACGAGTGGGTAGGTGGACAGATGGAAGCATGGGAGAATGAATAAATGAGCCAATGGGTGAATGATTGGATAGATGGCCAGACAGGTGGGTGTATGGATGAGCAGATGACTGGATGAAGAGATGGAGAGCTGAATGGACATTTGGGTGGATCATATGACAAAATGAATAGATAAAAAATGATCGTGAGCTTGCCAGAGGAAAGCACAGCCTTCCCTGTTGGTAAATATAACTCTCTTGCAAAGCTGTCAGTGACCAGGATGGTTTTGGGCCCCTCACAGGGCTTTCTGACTTGCTGCTTCCTCGTCCCCACGGAGTGCCTCTTCTGGAGGCCGAGGCGAGAGGCAGAAGAGCATGACCATGGAGATCAGCGCTCGAGGCAGACAGCGCACCATTGGGAATGAGGAATACAGCCTGTACAGCAGCCTGAGCGAGGATGAGCTGGTCCAGATGGCCATTGAGCAGAGCCTGGCTGACAAGACCCGCGGCCCGACCACCGCTGAGGCCACTGTGTCCACCCGTGTCAACCGCCAACCTGCCCATTTCTACCCATGGACCAGGTGAGCAAGGAGAAGCCGGCTAGTTTACCTGTGAGGTGCAGATCCCAAACGCTGCTAATCCAAGACCAAAGTCTTGGTGTGTAGGGTGCATTTTTACAGCGTAATAACTTACATTTGTTATCGAAACTTACCAAGCTTTGACAGTGCCTGCAGTAGGCGCTATAGTCATTTCGCCTCGTTTAACCCTCTTAAAGCCCTTCCAGGAGGCTCTATGCTATATTCCCATTTTATAAATGAGGACACGGAAGCTCAGGGCTGGTAACTAGTCCCAGGTTGCGCAGCTAGTAGATGGTGTTGTACAGACTGGAATGATCTGGTCCCAAAGATCCAGGCTTGGCTTCGTACCACTGGCTTTCTGTCTGGATGCGGTGAAGCTGAGGCTCTAAGTCCAAGCAGACCTCACAGTCTTATCGATGCGGTCATCCTGGGAAAACATGTCTGACAAGCAAGTGACATTTGCCCAGCAAAGCTACCCACTCCTCCTTGCTCTGGCTCCCCTGTCTCAGCGTGACCTCAATGGCAGGACCGCGTAGGGCAGCACCCTGTCGCGCCCACAGAAATATGACGCGAGCCACAGCTGAAGTCCCACATATGCAATTCTGAATCTCCTAAGAGCCACACTAAAAACATAAAGGCAAACAGGTGAAATTAATTTAGGTGGAAAATATTATCATTTCCACGCGTCATCAATAGAAAAATTATGAATGAGACATTTACGTTCTCTTTGTCACACACCACGTCTTTGGCGTCCAGTGTGTATTTCGCCCTCACTGAACGTCTCAGTTTGGGCCGGCCGCATCACCCAGCTCACCAGCCACACGTGCATGGTGGCTACCTTACTGGCAGCGCAGATCCAGAAGGTTCCTTCTTTGCTGGAGGGGGGAGCCAGAGAGGTAATCAAGCATTGGGTCTTAAAATGCTTTTAGAAAGGATACCTATATTTAAAAATGTTTCTGTTCATCACTGAGTCTAAGTCAAGTACATATTTGGGGGTAGGTGCCTGGGGGATGGGAATTGCTGGACTGATTGTGTTGTGCAGCCTTAGGACATGGGCCTCAAATCTCATTGTCTCCAGGGGCGCCTGGCGGGCTCAGTCAGTGGAGCATGCAGCTCTCAGGGTCGTGAGTTCGAGCCGCTGGTTGGACATGGAGTCTCTACTTAAAAAATCAATCTCATTGTCTCCAGCAGCCAGCGGACTTTCTGTGTGGCCTTGGGCAAGTCCCTTAAGCTCTCGTAGCAACAGTAGACAGACCATCTCCAATATCCAGTCCCGAGTGACAGGGATGAAGGCAGTTGGTGTCCTGGTGATAGCCACCAAGTGCTCCCCAATGTGACTTTGGCCCTGGCTGAGGCTGGACCTCCTCTGCCAGGCAGATTGGGCAAGACTCAGGCTGCCCTACACGGAGGAGGCCCTTCTAAAGGGGAAGACAGGAAGCCTCCTTGGGCGGCGGGAAGGAATAGGAGGCTCCAGGTTCCTGAGCTGCACCCTAGGGTGTCCCGTCCTGGAACTCAGCCTGAGAAACAGAAGTGAGGACCCAGAGCCAAGGACTCTTCATGGCCGGTGCTCTGGGAGGTCCTGCTTCCTGTTCCGGCTGCTTCAGCCTCAGTCAGACCACAAGTTCCTCTTTCTCAGGAGGGAATCAGATAGAGAGAAGAACATCTCCCGGGGTATCTGCAGCTTTCTCCCCAGTGTGGGAGGCCCCCACCCCTGGCCTCCTGGGGACACTTACCAACATTAGAACGGAGTGGGCTCATGGGGTCTGGGCCCTGACCTCCTCCTTCCTCTGGTGGGCAAGGAAGGACAGACCCACCGTGGGACTCAAACACTTACGCAGCCTCCTGAGAAAAAAGCTCTTGCAGAGGAAGGGAAATGGCTTACCCAGGGTCACACAGCCACCCCCTAAGTTCCAGGCACAAGTAACATAGGAGAAGGAATTCAACCTGCACCTTCACACTCCTGATATGAGCGGAAACCTCGTGGATTCAGTTCTGCCCTTTCATCTCTGGAAGACGGGCAGGCTTGGGTGGGTCCTGCTGGGGAAGCTGGTCCCTCCTCCCCTAGATGCACCCTGAGTGCTTCCCCCACGCCCCGCACACCGCCTTTCAGCTAATCCTTACAAAAGCTGCCCACAGTGGGCATTTCTGGGCCCGTTTTTATAAGCACGTGCCAGGACCAGGAACGGAATCAACATCTGTCCCGCTCTGGCGTTCAGACGCCTAAGCAGCTGTGCGGATCCCGCCAAAGACCTCTTTCTGTTCCTCTCCTTCATCCACTTTGTTTTATTTTTTTAATGTTTTTTTAATGTTTTTTATTTATTTCTAGGAGAGAGAGAGAGAGACAGCGTGAGCAGGGGAGGGTCAGAGAGAGAGGGAGTCACAGACTCTGAAACAGGCTCCAGGCTCTGAGCTGGCAGTCAGCACAGAGCCCGACGCGGGGCTCGAACCCATGAACCGCGAGATCATGACCTAAGCGAAAGTCGGACGCTTAACCGACTAAGCCACCCAGGCGCCCCTCCTTCCTCCACTTTGAAGTGGGGTTTGGGTCTTATTACAGCCGCTTCCTACCCACAGACATTCGGGGTCCCCATCGTCAAGAGACCCACCAGCTTGTGCCCACATTCCCAGACATGGCGTTTCAGGAAGTACAGGACCCAGTAGAATCCTTTGTCACTTTTATTCCCAACTAGCATAGTGGCCATCTGAAGCCCAGAGCAGGGGTCGGAACGGGACATCACACACGTCCCAGGGGCTCCACATGGCTGGCTCCTTCTCGGTTGAATGTCACCTCCTCAGCAATCCCTGCCTGATCCTTCCAGGTCAAGTAGGTCGTCCCCTTACTCCCTTAGCTGTTTTCCCCCTCACGCTGACTACGACTTACAGTTTCTATGTGCTTGTTTCGGCTGCGGGGGCAGGGGCCTCACTCATCTTCCTTCCTGTGAAGTCTCCTTGCCAACACTTGAGCAGACACCAAATGACTGTGAGAGAATATTGAGTGAATAAAGGCATGTATAGAAAGGCGGCAGAGTAGAGTGGAAAGAAAGTGGGTTTGGAAGTTCAAATCTTCCTCTGTTACATACTGGCTGTGTGATCCTAGGCAAGTTACTTAACCTTTCTGAGCCCCAACAGTCCCATCCTTAAAATGGCAATACCAAAAGCTTGCCTAGCACAACATGCAGTGTTCTTACGAAAAGCAAGTAAAACGGCACCTTCCTCACACCCCATGGCTTGAATTGACCTCCCCCCACCTGCCCCCTGAGTACCCCAAGTGCCCACATCGTGACCACCTCTGTTTCATGGACAAGCTTTCGTGTCACTATAGGAAGGCATTATCCGGCCTCCCAAGAGTGTCCCCAACTATACTATATGACCTCTTTGGGGACAGGGAGCAGATATTGGCCCCACTTTGGTATCTTCAGTGCCTGACAAAGGGCCTGGATTGTCGTAGGTGCCCAAGAAATGTTTTTAGGCAAATAAGTGCATTTCGAAACCAATAAAAGTCTTTATAAATATAATTTATTGTTATCATCTTGTGAGGAAAATGGTGACTGTGGACATAAAGGTCAACTGAGCCTTTGGGATCCTAGAAATGAAAGCCGGATCCGCATCCAGGAGACCATATAACATCCCCTCTTAAAGCCATTTTTTCCAATTTCTTTCTCTCCCACCATGATGTGTAGGGATGAAGTCGGAAGCGTGCATAGGGATCATCACCCCCCTCAGGGCTCCCTGAAAGGGAGATTCAAGTTCCCATCCCCTGGATAAGTAGGGTTCATGCAGCCATGAACCAGAGAGTCCAAGGTTATGATGATGGACAAGCCCAGAGTGGGCCCAGGAACCTGGGTCTTCCCAGTGTTTAAGCTTCTGCATTTTTAAGGTTACATTTCTGAGATGACAACAGAGGAAAGCATGAAGTAGGAACTTGTTTGGGTTGATGTGTGTGCACACAGCGGCAAAGAATTCACATTAAGCCACCCATCCCTACTGTGCTCTTAGGATGCACCAGCCGCCTTCCCAGACATGAATCAGGGCTCGTCCCTCCCTGTCCCAAGTTTGCAGTCTAACAAGAGTCCCAGATGTACACAATGACCCAGCAGAAAGGGTACAGCAAAGAGGCTTGCCTCAGTTTCAGAGGGACACAGAGAGGGTCGATTCACTTAGTCAAGCAGGTGGGTTTTGCAGGATGAATAGGAGTTTGCTAGTCAGGCTGGAGGAAGCAAACCTCTTTGAACCTCAGTTTCCTCATTTACAAAAAGGCAGCCAATTACATCTCCTTCACAAAGCAGACCAGAGGATGAAATGAGGTGTTTTGTGCCATGTACCTGTCACAAGGCTTGGCCCACAGCAAGCACTCAACAAACCTCGGCTGTGGAGGGGAAGCAGAAGTTGCTGCAGCTTGGAATTCATGTTCTCCTCTACATGTGGCCCCTCGCTGGCTGGCCTGGAAAGAATGGATTGGCCAGGGTGTGGGTGGCTGATTCCAGAGGCCTGCGGGAAGGAGGATGGAGGTGGCCATACACGTGAGCTCTTCGTCTCTTTACCCAGGAGGGTAGAGGGCAGCCCCTCCAGGAATCTGAGGTCCCGCCATGGCACCACGAAACACCAAGATGGCCAGTTTGGACATCTCCCCTCTGGTTCTGTTTCCTGCATTTAAATTTCTCAAGTATCTGCTGTGTGCCTGGCATGGGACTCATGACCCTGGTATTGACATAGGCTTAACGTGAGGACCGGAGGAAGGGGTGACCATAGGATCCTGGCCCCCCCCCCCACGACCTGCTTGGCCACCGGTGTTCAGCCTGGTCCCGCCCAGTTTAACACCCTCCCTGGGGCTGTCAGCTCTCTGAGAAGTTAGGGGGCCTTGTCATTGCAGCTGGGTTCCCCGCTCTCCTTGACCCTGACCCGTGTCTGAAGTAGGGCCCCGCTGGACTCCAGGACTGTTGGTGATGGCGATGCCCTCCTGACCCCCACCCCCACCCCCACCCCGAGCTGCCGCCTACGTGAAGGACAGGGACCCTACCTGGGCCTCTTCCAGGGCATGACCCGCGCCCACATCCCGCCAGGTTCCTCTTACCTCTGATGACTAAACCCGGGGTGGTTTTCTCTGCCGGGAATTCCCCCGCTCGGGGCTGAGGGGAAGTGGGGGCCGCAGCCTCGGCAGGACTGGCGCCCCATCTAGCGCGAGGCTCGGCCCTCGGCTGCTCTGAGCGCTTGCCCTGCCGGCCCCTTAAAGCCAAGTTAAGGACCCACCACGGGGCTCCCGGAGCAGCCCCTGCTCCTTATCCTGTCCCCACCCCAGTCCCCGTCCCGGGAGGCTCTGTGGTGGTCTGTGTCCTTGCCCCCCTCCTCCCCCATACACACTGGCTTCCGGGCATCGGGCATCATGAGGATCAGCAAATTTGCATCCCAGGCCCCAGCGCAGGGTTTGGGACGGAGCAGGGACTGGGGAACCCTGGTGGCGAGGGACTCGGTCTGTCTGCTTCCTCCTCTGTGAAGCCTCCCTCCAGCTGCTGGGGAGGATGGAAGTGAAGCGATGCTCTGCATAGTTGTGAGGGACATCTCGGTCACCATGGCTGTCTCCCCCACCAGCCTCGCCGTCCTGTCTTGCTGGTGTTATTTTGCCATCAGAGATGGTCCTGGTTTTAGGGGGGCGTGGCGGGTTTTTATTGGCACTCATCATCTTGCTAAAAACATCCCAGCGACGGGAGGCCATACACGCGTGGTCAGGACCCCAGGACCCCGTGTGGACAGAGACCAAGGGCTTTGTCAGGACCACACGGTTGGGGGACTGTGAGCTGGGCCTGGCCCCAGGCCTCAGTCCACCCCGCCCAGCTCGCTCCGCTTTCCGGGTGGTGGAAAGGGGCCTTGGCGGGGCCAGGCTTTGCACCCCCCTCTTCCCAGGATGTGGTCTCTTAGATCTGTTTCCCCGTGAGTTCATTTCAGCAAGGGCTCCGCAGCTACAGAAGCAGGGAGGAAACCCCCGTCCAGTCGTGCCTCCACATCATGCAAATGAGGAAACTGAGGCACAAAGAGGGGCGGGGGCTTGCTCAAAGTCGCAGGGCCTGTCAGAGCCGAGGCTTTAGAGCCGGATAGAGGATGAAGAGGCAGGAAGACCCCGGGGCCCCGGAGGAGGCAGCGGCATCAGACGCTCTGCAGACACACATGAGTCTGCTTCTGCTCTGCTCAGCTGCCTGCGAGCCCAGGGCAGTGACCCACCTGCCGGAGCCTCAGTTTCCCCGTCTGTAAAGGGCAGGGACATTGGCGTCCGCTCTGGAGGACGAATGGATGGGCGCACACAGGTGGCACTCAGGCTCGTGGTGCTCAGGAAAGGTGAGTAGGGACACGCAGAGGAGCACGCAGGAAAGCAGTGACAATGAGGACGAAGGTGACCGGCCTGGCGGTCCCCCCACCCAGAGACGGTGAAGCAAAGGAGGCAGGCTTCCTTGCCTTCCTTCTGGCCACATCCCCCTTCCACCATGACCCGGCCGCGCTGGGGGCATCCACAAATCTGCGGGTTCTGGCCTGTCTTGGAAGAGCCTGGGCCTCCTCAGGGTCACAGTTCCAGCCTTTGCAAGCACCACGGGGTGCTGGTCACATGTAGTAATGTCCTCAGTCCCACAGGCCACCGCTGAGGGGCGCAGGGGAAACAGGCCAGGCCTCCTGGGGTGTCCATGGCACAGGACACCCTGATCAATTGGCTATGCGGAGTGGCCACCATACCTCCCTTCACCCCTCCCATCTTCACCACAGCCTGAGGGTGTGGGGAAACTGAGGCTCAGAGAAGTGCAATCATGATCAAATTAGTGGTGGATGCATGCTGAGGACCCCTGTGCCGGACCCCAGCTGAGCTCACTCACTCCAGCCTCACGGCTTTCCGACACTGGGCAATGCACGAAACTAAAGCCCAGAAAAGTTCAACCTGTCTGAGGCCACATGGCCAGGAAGTGGCAGAGCCTAGATTTGAACCCACGTCAGTCTGACTCCAAGCCCTGGTCCCCCGGTGGCTTTTTTGCTGTAACTTCTGTACTGTGTGTTCCTGGGACAACAGGACCCTCTAATGAGGACCCGGCCAGGCGGATGTGGGAGTCCACACCTGGTTTGGCTCCCCAGCCACACTCCCCTGTCCCCCCGACAACCTACAGGAACCTCTTGCCCGTCCCTGTCGGGACCCAGCCTGGCCAGCTTGAGACTGAGCCCCTTCCACCCAGGGACCTGCTGCTGACGCTTCTCACATCCTCTCGGGTGAAGAATGTCACCTTGCTTCGTCTCTGCCTCCTGTGTGGTTGGCTGGGGAGGGGGCCGTGGGGGTGGGGATGAGGTTAACCTCATTGTTGTCTTATATGGTCATTTAAATCTCCCAGGGCTTCCTCCGAGGGCCAAAAATAATCTGGAGACACAGCAGCTGTGTCCAGCACACAGAGAGGACCCGGCCATCTGCTTTGGTTCAGAGCCCTGTGTCTGTCTGTCTTTCCCGCCTTGCTATCCCTCCATCCTGGACCCTGCCTCCGGCCATGACCCGCTTCTCTTATGCAGAGTATTTTTCCCTCTTCCATTCCTGCCCCGCACCCTCCAGGTCGACTGTGCCTCCCGAGAAGCCGCCCGCCTCGGGCCCCATGGGCCTGTTCCAAGGGGTCATGCAGAAATACAGGAACTCCCAGCTGGCGTAAGTGACCCCCAGCCCCCGAGATCGTGCAAGTTCACCCTTCCAACTAGGGCTAGTGGGGGTGGGGGGTGGGGTGGGGAAGCGGACCCCAGGAAGGGAGCCACCCTGGAGGGACCTCCCGGGCATACCACTCCCAGGCGTGTCCCCCTGAGACCCAGCTGCTCCCGCTGAGCTGGGCTCAGCAGTCACAGACTCAGTTCAAGGCTGTCAGCTGGGCCGTGCTTGTGATTAACCCCGCAATGCCCTCCACGTGGGCACCCGGGGGATGGAGCAGCCCCATGGGAGACAGCCCTAAGGCCCCCCCACCCCAAAAGCGCAGAGAGGCTCCGCGCTGAAGCTGATGAGTCAGCCACGCCTTCTATTTATCTCAGTTTCCCCCCTCCATGCGTCACCGTGGGCATATCTGAGTATATCTTCAAGGCTCACGCCCATGGTTTTTGTTTTGCTTTGTTGCCTTTGTTTGCTCAGTGCCAGGTGGTAAAATCTAGAAATAATGTGAGCTGCAGGAGGGGCTCTGTATGCCTGGCACCAGGGTGCTGGGTTAGGTGCGTCCTTGGAAGAGAGATCCGTGCTTCCCCTTCTCTGCTCCCCTGTATTGACCCCAGAAGCAGCTAAAAGCAAAAGAGGGGTGCCATCACAGGAACCCCTATTTCCTTGCTCTAATTATGTTGCAGAGAGGGGAGGATGCAACTGGCCAGTGTTTTCGTCTCTTCCTAGCTTTTTTCAAACCCGGCCACCCCACTTCTTGGTTCTGTGGGTGGAATTCTGATGGTCTGGAAAAGGGGGACCCAGACTTTGGTCTCCGCACTGCTGCCCCTTCCTGGGTGGGTGCCTGTGAGTCTCTGTCCCTCTCTGAATGTCCCTTCTCTGTGAGAGAAGGTTGGAGAGGACAGAGTGGCCTCCAGGGTCCTGTCTAGCTCCTCTGTCTCTGATGGTCTGACACCCCCAGCCGCTTCCCCCCCTCCTCCGGGCGGGGCTTTGGCTGAACTCCTAGAGCCTCGGTCAGCATGTGCACCCGAGAGCTTCGGGGCACCAAGCCGAGAGCCAAGCCGGGCGGCAGGTCCTGGGGGTGCTCTCCTGAGACCGCGGACCCCGTCCACGAGAACGGCCAGCCCTCCTCTCTTCCACTTCAGCTGGGGTCCCACGGGAGACCTTCCAGGGGAGCCAGATACATACCCCACTGGGGCTTCTCCTGACGCCACCAGGGTCTGCTCTGGCCGCTCGTAAGGACTCACCAAGGTGGTAGTGACGGCGGTGATGGGGACTTCGGGGCTTATCTGGTCAGTTACCCATTGTGCTCGTGGCTCTGTAATTAACCAGCAACTGTGCTCTGAAGCTATTAATAACCGGAGAGGCTGAGAGTCAGGAGGAAGTGCCGCTCACATCGGGGGAAGCAGCTGGGAGGGTAAAGGGACCGGCTCCACAGACCCTCAGGGCCTACCCTGCCCCTGACGCGGGTGAGCCTGCCTCCAGTCTCACCTCCTCCATCTGGGAAATGGGAGCACTTGTGCAGACCATTCCCCAGGAGTGGGTCTGGACTCACAGTGGTCCTGGTCCTCACTGACTCGAGGATGGAGGGAAGGGAGCTCAGTGAATAAAAGAATGAATGAAGTAGCAAAGAAGTTTTCATTCATATTAGCCCTGAAATCTTTCAGACATTCAGAAGTTTAAAACTGGAAAGGTTTAAATGTATTAGTCCTTCAAGTATGTAAGTCTTTCAGCAGCTAAAATTTCTAGGGGTGAGGGGGAAGGATGAAGAACAAGGAAGGGAAGGGGGAAGACCCCAGAAAGATGCTCACTGTAAAGAGCCCCCCCCCCCGCCCCGGAGGGACTCTGGTCTCAGGGCTGCCTGACTTGCGAACTGGCCCCAAAGGTGCTTGGTAAATGCTAGAATATTGCACTAAAATCACTCCCATGGGGTGAGCTGTCCATCCCTCTGGGGCTGGCACTGTATGCCCGGATCCTCTTGGTAGAAGTGGTCTAGGTGTAACATGAAATGCAGCCCTGCAAGCCTCAGGGACAGAGGGGGTCCCTGGCTTTCTTTTGGCCACCAAGGAGCTCTGTCTAAGAGACCCTCGCTTTCCACCTGTGGAAGCAAATGAACCTGCGTCGTCTCGGCCCGTTTCTCGCAGACTTTCTTGTAGACTTGGAGATACAGGCGTGGAAGGGCCCCAGGTCCCGGGCTGCTTGCAGGGGGGCCAAACACGGGCCAGCTCCACCAGAGCCCCCACACTTACTTGCATAGGCCGGTGTGTCTTCCAAATGCTCAAAGGAGGCTATTGCAAAGAATGTTTTGATACATTATTTGCAAGATACAAATAAAATTCCCTCAAAAATCTAGCAAGATGCTAATGGGGAGAGGCCATCTTTTTGGAAACAGAAAGAAATAGAAGGGATGAAGGGTTGAGATAATTGTTGGGGTTCCTGGGTTCTGAGTTTTCCTTTCTTTCTTCCTTCCTTCCTTCCTTCCTTCCTTCCTTCCTTCCTTCCTTCCTTCCTTCCTTCCTTCCTTCCTTCCTTCCTTCTTTTCCCCTCTTCCTTCCTCTCCTTCCTTTCCTCCCTCCCTTTCTCTCTCTCCCCTTTCTTTCTTTCTTTCTTTCTTTCTTTCTTTCTTTCTTTCTTTCTTTCTTTCTTTCTTTCTTTCTTTCTTCTGTACTTAATGAGTACCTGTTATGGACCAGACACTGAGCTGGGCGCTGAGAATGAAATCATCAAAATGAGAGAAATAAAGGCACCGTCCCTGCCTTCTGGGGACTCCCAGTCCAGCGGGGGAGACAGACAGCATCAAATAACTGTTCATGTAAAGGCCGGTGGTTACTCAAGGGCTTATGACCGGAGGAGGGAGAGGCTGATTTGGGCCTGTAGGCTGAGGTTGACAGGCTTGAGGAAGCTCTGATGGATAGCTGGTGAACGGATAAGCTGGAGGCGCCAAGGTCAAGACCAAGATCGGGGCCGAGTTCCAGGGCGCGCCCATGTGGTTTAGGAAGGATTATTCTCCTCATTGAGGAGGACACTGCCTGTAGGGGGTGAGCACCTGTTCCAGACCAGTGGGGGCAAGCCGGACCGAAAGGTCCCACAGCCAGCACTGCCCGTGGCCGCCGGCAGCCCTGCCTTCCCTCTGGGAAAAAGGCTGCCCCTCCCCTCCTCTGCCCAGTCTGGGTCCTGAGGAGTGACCCGCCCCTTGCTGTCACAGGCCTGTGGACCCCGTGCTGAAGGCCATCAAGGAAGGTGACGAGGAGGCCTTGAAGGCCATGATCAAGGCGGGGAAGAATCTCGCCGAGCCCAACAAAGACGGCTGGCTGCCGCTGCACGAGGCGGCCTACTACGGCCAGCTGACCTGCCTCAAGGTCCTGCAGCAAGGTGAGTGGGGACAGGACTCGGGGCGAGGGCTCCTTCCTTTCCAGGGCTTCAACAGCCTTGGGCGGAGGCGGGGGAGGGTGCAAGGCAAGATTCTTACCCCTGTTGCAGCGTTAAAGTCACCAAGCAGGGAGAAAAAGTGGCTTGTCCCCACCCGGCTTGCTGCCACGCTCCGGGCCTTTCAGGACAGGAGAGCCTAATTCCTAGAATAGGAGTGGGGAAGGGCTGACTTTTGGGAGAGCCGCTGCCAGCTTGTTCCAGAATGTTCCAGGGGCTGATGTGGTGTGGAAAATATTGCAGCTGTGTCTATGCCCCCGCCAGGGCTGGCCCCCACAGCTGTGGGAACCTGGGCAAATCATGCCTCCTCTCAGAGCCTTGTTTTCTCCCCAAGCTACATGTGGGTAGGTAACACATGGGGATAGGGGGTAGCTCTGTTCTAGAAGCAGCATGAGCCCCAGACAGCCCGCCACACTCTAGGGCAGAGCCGGTTATACAGCCATGGCTGGTGGGAAGGACAGGGTCATTCAGAGAGGGAGGGGTTCAACCAAGGAAAGCTTCCCAGAGGAGGTGGCCTCTGAGCTGAGATAATATGTCTGGGAAGCAGAAACAGCCCCATGAAAGCCACGGAGTCCAGGGTGAAGAGGATAGATGTTGTATTTAGGTGGGTGCCACACAGGTCTGTCATTGGACCTGGGCAGAAATCCGGGCCACCTTTGTGGGGGGGAGGTGGGCGCACTTCCCCCTCCATGAACTCCCTGTCTCCTCCTTAGCATACCCTGCAGTCATCGACCAGCGCACCCTGCAGGAGGAAACGGCCCTTTACCTGGCGACTTGCAGGGGACACCTGGACTGCCTCCAATTCCTCCTCCAGGCTGGGGCCGAGCCTGACATCTCCAACAAGTCCCGAGAGACCCCGCTCTACAAAGGTGAGCCCCCCGCAGTGGGCTTCCCTGGGGAAGGTCCAGAGGGGAGGTGGGCAATCTGGAGCATTGCTCCCAAAGTGTGTACGTCCCTCCCTAGCCCCCTTCTCCCAGCCAGGGGGCTTCTGTGAAGGGCCGATGTCTAACTTGTAACTGAACTCGGGCCATACTACCCAGGCCCTCCTGTGGGCCAGGCACACCGAGGAGCGCCGAGGGCCCAGAAACAAAAAGATACTGTCTGTGCCCAGGCGCTCTCCCGGCCCGGTGGGCAGAGACACACAGACAAGGAAACAGCCGCCTAGTGGCAACGACGAGCTTGGCATGATGCACCTGGGAGCATCAGGGGGAGCTCTGAGGGGTGGGGAGCACCCACAAAAGGGGGTGCCTGAGCTGAGCCTGAACGGAGGGCTGTTTCCAGCTGGACAAGCAGAGGGAACAGCATAGGCAGAGGCAAAGAGGTATGAAAGCAAATGCGTACCTCTGGGACGTTTAAAACAAACTAGAGACTTAGCCGAGCTCATTTAATACATCATCCAGGGACACTGGAGCCTCTAGCAAGCACCCAGAGTCAAAATCTGAACAATCCTAATAGCTGGTATTTACCAGTGTTTACTCCGTGCCGGGCACTGTTCTTTAATTTAACTCTACTACCTCTCTACAGATGAGACAGGCATTACACGGGAGGTATCCCCATTTTATAGATGGGGACCTAAGGCACAGAGACATGAAATAAGGCACCCAGGATTTCACATATTCTAGCAAGGGGCCGACCTGGGATTTGAACGCAGGGAGCAGGTTGCCAGCACCACACCCTGAGCTTGACATCATAAAGCATCCAGTACACGCCTACAGGCTTGAGTGATCAGCCTCGGCTCTTGCAAATACAAATATGATCGGGCCTTTACACTTGGAAAAATGACAGAGATCCTCACTTTCCCCTGCAACTGCTATCCAGCACATGGAATATCCCCATGGGAGGCAGGGACCTGGCAGCTGGTAACTGGGTCCATTGTAGACCCAGAACAGAAGTGATTCCAGAAGCTACGTCTGCCTGGGCACCTACCTGAGCCATCACCTAGAGGCCAAGCTGCCCAGAGAGAGCTTCCCTGAGGAAGCTCAGCTGAGGCTTGGGCCCTGGTGCTAAGTGCACTTCTCCCACGTGCCAAATACTTTGCTAGAATGTTCCACGTACTCCCTCACCCAGGGCTCTTACAAGGTCCTCTCAGGAAAGTTTATTATCTCTGGTTTACAGGGGAGAATACCAAAGCTTTGAGAGGTGGGGAGCTTTGCCTGGGGTCCCGTTTGAAACTCTACCCAGGCAGCCCCCTTTCCATTCTTACCCTCACCCCTGCCTGAAGAAGTGGTTAGTTTAGACAGGAACCCAGCAGCTAGACAGGAACCCAGCAGCCTCCCTAGTGATAACCCTGGACCAGAGCCAACGGTGCATTTAGGTTCTAGAGAACAATGAGGCTGGGGGCGCCTGGTGGCTCAGTCCATTAGGCGTCCAACTTCCGCTCAGGTCATGATTTTGCAGTTCGTGGGTTGGAACCCCGCATCGGGCTCTGTGCTGACAGCTCGGAGCCTGGGGCCTGCTTCGGATTCTGTGTCTCTCTATGCCCCTCCCCTGCTCATGCTCTGTCTCTGTCTCTCTCTCAAAAAAATGAACATTAAACATTAAAAAAGTAGAAGCAATGAGGCATAAGAGGGAGGTGTGGGCAGAGTGAGAAGACAAGCTGTATGCAGAAGACACATTTTACCTCAGTTTCAGTGTGTAGCCTCTGAGGAAGGGTTTTGAGCAGGAATAAGGCACTGCTGGCTTCCCCACCTCTTCTGGCTCTGACAATGTAGAGGACTGTAGCAGGGAGCACTGGAGAGGGAGAGGAGTTAGGGACACCCTGGAACATTCCATGGGACAGAGACTCTGGGCCTGATGGCCTGAGTTGGAATCCCTGTTCTGCCACTCTCTGTGTGCCCTTGGGCAAGTCGCTTCACGTCTCTGTGCCTCATTTTCCTCCTCTGTGGGGAGCCTCTGTTGGGCTCCTGGCGCTACATCCTCTAAAGGTGATTGGGTATAAGTATATTAGATGGCCACGTGAAGTGCTTCGAACAGAGTGCGTGCCACAGAATCCACGCCACAAACACCAGCAAATATGGCCGCTGTCAGTAGTGCTACTATTTTAGGTGCGTGTCCGGGGTCAAAGGCAGGCACCGATCAGTACAGACTCAGAGGCTGTTTGTTGAATGAACGTCGGATGAGTGAATGGGTGAATGGACAAATCAATGAATGAAGTCTTGGCCGGCCGGCTCCAGCCAGCGCCCCGCTGACCACCTTGCTTCTTTCTGCCTGGGGTGCAGCCTGCGAGCGCAAGAACGTGGGGGCCGTGAGGATGCTGGTGGAGTACAACGCAGACACCAACCACCGCTGCAACCGGGGCTGGACGGCCCTGCATGAGTCCGTTTCTCGCAACGACCTGGAGGTCATGGAGATCCTGGTGAGCAGGGGCGCCAAGGTGGAATCCAAGAACGCCTACGGCATCACCCCCTTGTTCGTGGCCGCCCAGAGTGGGCAGCTGGAGGCCCTGAGGTTCCTGGCCAAGTACGGTGAGTGCTAAGGGCCCCTGGGTCACGTGGCCGCCAAGGGGCGGAGCTGGGGTAGAATGCAGGGGTAGAATGTTCTGGGTGCCCTATGTTGAGAAGGATTCTGAGGCTGTGTCTAAGCTCGGTGGGGAGTGAGGCACGAGCCGGGGGCGGGAGGAACGGTACACGGGCCACAAAGGCCATCTCTTATCTGGCCCAACATCCCCATTTGACGAATGAGGAATCAGAGGCCCAGGAAGGGAAGTGACTTATTTACAGTCACGTAGCAAACTGGCGATGGAACGAGCCAGACTCTTGGTCTCCTGACACTTCAACCACTTCTCGTTCCACCCTTGTCACACTTCAAGGCCAGAGGGAACCTCAGACAACATGTAGGTCACCTCCTCAGTGTACACGTGATGAAACCGAGGACCAGGATGGGAAAGTGATTTGTCTAAGGTCACACCGCAAATGGGTGGAGGAGCTGGGATTTGAACCCGGGTCTTGGCACTCTCTGCCTTTGAAAAATCATAGTCACCTTAACGGGAGAAAATAAAATGATATTGCCTGCATCATGAGCAGAAGACCCCGAGACAATGGCAGACACGCTTCCGGCTGAAGAGCCTTGTTTTTTTTGTTCTCTCCCCCCACTCCCCGCCGCCCCGAAAACACCTTCGATTTCTTTTCTCTCTCTCCGTGGGAGGTGAACCTCCCTCCCCCCCAACTGAGAGGCCAGGAGAAAGCCAGACCCTCGTGCTGAGTTGAAGTCCCACTGTGTTAAGCATGAACACGGGGTGGGCTGATGGGTTTTCTCTGCAGCGTACACGGTGGGGAGTGTCCTGATCCCGTTCAGTAGATAAGGAGACTGGGGCTCAGAGAGGTTAAATGACTGCTCACATCAGAGCCTGGATTCCAACCACATGCATTTGCCTCCAAACTGCACGCCTCTTGCCCTTGGCCATGCTACCCCAGGCCTCGAGAATTACCATCGTGGGACTTGGCTTGGATAAACATCCACTAACTCAGCACGCGCCTAAGCAGTTGAGAAAACAAACCCAGGGCACTTCCTTGCCGCCAGGGACAGATCTGGACGGACCCGCTTGAGAACAAAGGGGCGCAGGCAAGGTCCTGGGAGCCCAGGCAAGGAGGCTGGGCAAAGGGCGGGGTGCTCAGCCGCCAAGGGGGGCCGGCCAGCTCTGAACATCTGTCCAGCCCTCCCGCCGACAGTCTGAGTCAGGGTCTTGCTCCCTTTGTGGGCCGAGTCCATTTTCAAGGCCAAATATTTTCCTTGTGAGAGCTGGCGGCTTTGCCGGCGGGGTCCAGGCTTCCCGAGAGCCTGACTTCAAGAGCGTAGAGCTGTTCCCTGCCTTTCCCTCAGGGTGAGGGGCAGAACCAGACTCTGGGCCCCGGTCCTTCCATCCTGGAGAACCGGAGCTTTGCTGAGCACCTTCTCTGTGCCCTGCACCATGCAGGGAGATTGTCTTAGTTTGTTTGGGCCACTGCAACAGAACACCATAGACTGGGGGGCTTACAGGCCCCAGGTGGTTATTTCTCACAGTCCCAGAGACTGGGAAGTTCAAGATCAAGGTGCGGGCAGATTCGGGGTCTGGTGAGAGCCTATTCCTGGTTCGTAGACAGCCACCTTCTCACTGGGTCTTCATGTGGTGGAAGGAGCAAGGCAGCTCTTGGGGGTCCCCTTTGTAAGAGGACTAACTAACCCCACTCATGACAACTCTACCCTCATCACCTGGGCACCTCACAAAGGCCCCTTCTCCTAACACAATTGCTCTGGATCCAGTTTCCACTGGGAATTCTGAGGGGACACAAACGCCCAGTCCATAGCAGATATTGATGTATTTTTATCTTCTCAAAGTAACCCTGACTAGTAGGTCCTCTTCATCTTGGTCAACAGATGGGAAGAGCGTGGCCCCTGAGGGCTGCCCGAGGCCACGGGGCTTGCAAGCCATGAAACAGAAACCCCAGCTAGTTCTCATCTCTCATAAAAGCCGGTGCTCTTTCCACTAGGCCAGAAAGCAGTTATTGAAACTGAAAATTACCAGAAAGCCTGAGATAAGCAGAATGCCCCGGCAGACCAGAGCTGTGGTTAACAGATGCTTCTGAGTTCAGCCCTTACTGACATTTCCCTCCTGCCTCAGCTCTATTTCCTTCCAGAATAAGGAGGGACTGGTGAAGAGACTGTGCCTCGTTTTGCAGAGAAACCCATAGGTCTCTCCATTACCAGCAGGAGATGGGGAAGATGTAGGAGGTGAGGCTGATGGGTTTTGTCCCTGAGTCCTCACCTCTAAGCACGCTGTAGCGCCCTCTTCAGAGGGGACGGGAAGCAATCCCTCTCTCACTCCTTGCTGTGGAGGGCACAGAAGAACAAATCCCAATTACTAAAGTTCTTGGGGTCTTTCTTTATTAGGGGGGCTCTGCACACTCTTAGAGCTGCGAGGCTTCCTCAGAACAGGGCCTGGATCCTTTCACATGGAGCGAAGGGGAAAGAGCATGGCCTCTGCCTTCAGACCATCTGCGGGGGGCTTCTGCTGTCAGACCCCCTGGGTTCAGGTTTCGGCCCTGCACTTGTGAGCCGGGTGGTCTGGGGCCAGCTGCGTAGCTCCTCTGTGCTTCAGGGTCCCTGTCTGCAATACGCAGATGAGAGTCGTGACAGATTGCATGGATTCAAAGAGAGAGAGAGCTCCCGTAAACCATGGTGCCTGGCACGTAGTAGGTGCTCAGGAAACGCCGGCATCATCGAGGCAGCGGTTTGCTTCTAAGGGCGCCCCCTCTCCAGCGTCACCATTGCAGAAAGAAGAGTCATTGTTACATGATCCAACACGCCACGGTGGTGGGCACAGTGCTTGACAGTGACGGCTCCTTGACGTGCCTCTCCTTGGCCAGGCGCCGACATCAACACGCAGGCCAGCGACAACGCGTCCGCCCTCTACGAGGCTTGCAAGAATGAGCACGTGGATGTGGTGGAGTTCCTGCTGTCGCAGGGCGCAGACGCCAACAAAGCCAACAAGGACGGCATGCTCCCGCTGCACATCGCCTCCAGGAAGGGCAACTACAGGTCAGCCTGGGCCCTGGGGGGCGCGGGGAGGGTCAGCGTGGACAGGAGGAGGCTAGCCGGCAGCTGGCCAGCTCGAGCGTGTCACGTGATTCGCTTACTTCGCTCTCTAACTCCTGTTAACAATCCTTTCACCGAGCCTTTGGAGGTAGAGACTATGACCTTCATTTCGCCACCTGAGGGAGCTAAGACACAGAGAGGTCGAGGGACTTGCCCAAGGTCATACACTGTGCAGATGGTGAGAACTGACCTGCTACGAATGTCGCCATCCCCAGGAATGGCACTCAGCGGGGCCAGATTCGAATCTGGTGGGGGTGCAAACATCACCTCTGAGGGGGCGCCTGGTTGGCTCAGTCAGTAGCGCATCCGATGCTTGATCTTAGGGTCATGAGTTCAAGCCCCATGCTGGGCATGGAGCCTACTTAAATAATAAATAAATAAAAAAGATAACCTCTCAGGCCGTTAGCAAGCATGTAGGGGATACATACAATAATCCGAATAGTACCAAATTTACAATAACACGAATAGTGCCAATGATAGTAGCTAGGCTTTATTGAGCGCTTACTCTATGCTGGGCACGTTGAGCAGGACGGGAGAAGCTTAAGTTCTCAGGGAGTGATCTCGTGGGAGGGAAGACATACACACACACACACACACACACACACACACACACACACAGGAACTCACAACAAAATGAGAGCGTGAAGGGCTGGACTCCAGGGCAGAGTCCTAGGGGAGAGGCACTAACGGGGGCAGAGGCCGAGGTGCCCTAGAGCCGGCTTGAACCTGCTCACGGGAGCCAACTGTGCGCACGGGCAGCCTGAAATTGGCCATGGTAGGAGAATTTACACCACGGAAGTTGGCGGATGCAACATATCAGGGGCCCCCTTTGCTCCCCAAGGGCCAGTTGTTAAATGTGCACTGGCACCACCACTAGCTGCTGGGGTCATGGAAGCCTCTCCGAGGAGGCAGAAGCCCCCCACTGTTCTGGAAGGACACCAGGGCTCAGCAGTTCCCACTCAACTAGTGCTTTCCCAACTCTGACCACTCACCCACTTTCTCCCTGATCGTAGGCATCTCTGCTCTCATTGCTGAGTATTTTCTTCCGAAGACATTGGTACTTAAAATGAATCTGTCTTCAAAAAGAAACAGCCATCACACTACTAAATTGCTAAAATCTCCAATTTACAATTGATTAAAAAAAAAAAAGCTTTTTACATAAAATTCCATCCTGTGTAGCCCGGATGACACACTTTGGGAAACACAGCCTGCCGGCAGGCAGAGAAAAAAGAGGAAAACACAGATTGTGCACATTGGCAGGGGTAGGCGGGTGGCGGGGGGTCCTGGCTGTGTTTGCTAAGGCAGAGAGAAAGGGGGTGAGAGTGACATCCCAGAGAATGAAACGGAGACGAAGAGACAGACCCCCACAGCCCCAGGCCCTGTCTGCAGGCCATCTGCATATGTGGCCAACCAAAGATGCCCTCTCCACCCCATACCCCTGACCCCCCTCCCATGGATACATGCGCAGAGGAGACCCTACCTTCTCTGGACCACAGAGCAGGCTGCAAGGCACAGAGGTCTGGGTTCAAATTCCTGCTGAAGCCATTGGGCATGTTGCTTAACCTTTCTGAACCTCAGAAATGGGCGAGAGTTACAGATGTCTCATGGGGTTGTAGTTAGGGCCAGCGAAATGGATGTACGCGGCTATGGAATGGAAATGAAACACCCAGCAGAGTGCCAGGTACACAGCAGATACCCAGTAAGTCTGTGCTCACTCTCTCCCAGGTAGGAGGAACCATCATTTTTTAGTTAAACCAAGAGATGGAAGTAGGCACCAAATCAGGCAGTGGTGAATGGGCATGACATGCCATTTCTTTTCTGGCCCAGAAATAAACATGGCTTATCTTGGAGGGAGAGATCCAAAGAACACAAGAGAGGGAAGGGGCTGGACTCTCTGGGCCCACAGGATCCCCATACTGGCCTGTACAGCACAGTCACTCTGGGCCATTTGTTAAATGACACATCCCAGAACCACTAAACCAGAATCTTCAGGGGAGAGGGTGGGGGGCTAAGCTCTACCTTTGAAAAGCTTCCTGAGCCAACCAGATACAGCCCATCTACACCTTCGGGGGGAATCAATGATGTAATACAACCCCTGATGTTGCAGAGGAGAGAGATGGGAAGTGGTTTGCCAGAGAGTGGCTGAGCGGGGACTGTCCCTTGGCATCCTTTAGTCACACCCGGATGCCTCAAGGGAACCGGATGTTGGCAGTCTGACCCCAGCTGGAGGAGAGGTTGAAAGAGCAAGGGTGTGCCTAAGGATGACGAGGGAACACAGCCGGTCCTCTCCGGAACCTCTTATAGGTACGGTTCGTGCACCCCCTGCCCCCAAATCTGCTTTGGATTCATGACTCTCGAAGCGATTTCCCTGGTTACCCACCCTCCATTCCCCGGCCCCATTTTCCTCTGCTCCCCAAGACTGAGAGGCGCCAGGCCACTTTTGAGGGCTGTTCAACAAAGGTTTCTTTCTTTTTTTTTTTTTTTAATATTTTTAAAAATTTATTTCTAGGAGAGAGAGAGAGAGAGAGAGACAGCGTGAGCAGGGGAGGGTCAGAGAGAGAGGGAGTCACAGACTGAAACAGGCTCCAGGCTCCAGGCTCCAAGCTGGCAGTCCGCACAGAGCCCGACGTGGGGCTCGAACCCATGAACCGCGAGATCATGACCTAAGCGAAAGTCAGACGCTTAACCGACTAAGCCATCCAGGCGCCCCTCAACAAAGGTTTCAAGCCGTGTTCCCAGAAGCTTCCACCACCTGGCAGGGTTCATGGCCCATCAAGCCCTGGGCACTTCGCCCCTTGGGCTTGTGGCATTAGCGCCCCCTCCACGCTGACCTCCCATAGGCCGCTCAGGGATTTGATGCGACCGCACTCAACCACCAGCCAAATCGCCCTGCCCACCTGCAGTGTGGCAAGCAGTGCCCGGCAGCTGGTCTCCGTGGTCCCCAGATGGTGCTGTCCCTACAGCACATTCAACCAGAGGCTGTGATATTCAGGCATGGCTTTAGCTTATATTTCATCTCCAGTTTAGCAGAGGCACCTTAGGAGATTAAAGTTCAGCACCAACGATAGATTTTTTAAAAAATTTTTAAATATTTTTATTTGTTTAGTTTTGAGAGAGAGAGAGACAGAGCATGAGCGGGAAAGGGACAGAGAGAGGGAGACACAAAGTCTGAAGCTTTGAGCTGTCGGCACAGAGCCCGACTCGGTGTTCGAACTCACAGACGGTGAGATCATGACCTGAGCCAAAGTCGCACGCTTAACTGACTGAGCCACCCAGGTGCCCCACCAATGACAGATTTTTTAAGAAATGGTTTGTGTTAGACAAGACCAGATGCCCCATGCATCTTTTAAGCTGAATTTAAAATAGTAATGAGACCAGAGATTCTCAGACTTGGCTACACACTGGCACACACACACACCCTCACCAAAGGGCTCTAAAAACCCTGATGTCTGGGCCTCACTCACCCTCAGAGAGTCTGATTTGAGCAGCCTGCGCTGGGGCTTCAGGGTTTCTAAAAGCTGCCGGGATGATTTCACTGTGCGCTGTGGGTCAGAGTCATTCTCTTAGCGTCCGTTTTGCGTCTGGCATTTAACAGAGACTTGCCTGTTGGGCCTCACATCTGATGCCCTGTTTTCAACTATTCTTTGTCTTTTACTTCTAATTTATATTACCTTTGCAAGCCACTTAAAACTTTTGGGGGGAGGAGGGAAAATAGAGAACATTTAACACATTAAATTAAAATGCAGATTATAAGGCACATTCACGAGCAAGTTAGTATCCCCACTAATTAAAAGGGAATCTGGGGCCCAGAGCTCAGGCCTCACAGAACAACTGATGGGACCTTTACCGGCCCCCTTCTGTCACTGGAAACCAGTTTACTGCCTGCGTCTTCTGGAGGAAAATGATGAAGCTTTGCGTCCGAGTTTCTCCAGGCGGGGTACGTGGATCACCTGCTCTATTCCTGGGTGCATCCCTAGATCTGCTGGATCAGGCCCTGGATGACAGGGCCAAGTCCTCTGCATTGCGGAGATACCCTGAGCTGCTCCGAGCCCTGAGGAAGAGCTGGGGTTTGCAGCCTCGGCAAACTTTCATTCTCCGAAGGCCCAGAGACCCCGCCGCTCCCTTCCACGCAGCAGGGCACTTGATGCTGCTGGGTTCTGGCTCTTCCTCCTTCATGGAGGAGCTGCTCCCCTGCTCCAGCTCCTAGCACCTCAGGGACAAGCTGTACACATCCTTCTAGAAGGATCCCTCGTGGGCAATAGTCCCACTGTGCCCTTGGGAATGCCCAAAGGCAGATTCCCCACTGGCGGACTCTTTTCTGGCTCCAGTATGAGCATTGCCTGGGCTCAGAGAGGAGGTAATCTCTCCCCACCAAAATACACACATACACACACACACACACACACACACACAGCAGGATCATGACAGCGCAGCCCCATGGTTTTGGCACCTAAGCTGTCTGTGGGTGACTGGTTCCCTGCGAAGGTCTAGTCCCCAGTCAAATGACACCCAACGCTGACGAAGGTCATGCCATCGTGACCTCAAGACCCGGGATGCCCGAGCGTTGGGCGTGCAGGGGAAGCGCACGGCAGTCGGTCACCATGGCAGTCAGGACACCAACGGCCACCATTTATGGGGTCCCTGCTACTTGAGTGATCTCATTTTATCCTGAAGAGCAGCCCCAGGGAAAGGTATCATTAAACTGTGTTTTGTAACCTGGGCACAGCGATCCCATCTCGCTGGGTTAAGATGAGTAAATGAGGTCAAATCCTGAGCTCACACGGTCATTTCCAGGATAAATGAGGTGAATGAGGGAAAGTACATTGAATGGTGCCCAGCACAGAGCAGATGCTGAGCAATATTATTTAGGAGGGTAGAGTGCTCCCAACAATTGACAGGGGCTCCATCAAGGGTAGCTGTCATCATCACTGTCATCATCACTCTTGTGATTAATTTCCTGTCTGTTACAGATGTGGTTCAGAGAGGTTGAGTTACAGGCCCCAGATGGCCCAGCACTGACAGCACTGATGGGGTAATCCAGGTCCACAGCCCCCTGCGGGACCCCACACTGCCAGGGGCAGCTTGCTTTGACTCGAAGCTCTCTGCTCTGTTCCCTGTCACTGGGCTAAAATTCAGGCAGGACACCGGAGTCAGAGCAATAGCCTTGAGGAAACTAGAATCCTGGGTGGGGACCGAGGGCCTGGAGGAAAGGCAGCGCGGCTGGCTGGGACAGAGAAAGTTGGATTCATTTCCTGGTGGGTCCCAGAAACAAGGCAGGGGGGCAGTTATGGTGACTGGTGTCCAAGGTCACCTTCCCAGCTGCTGCTCTAGGCCTTCTTGAAATAGCCCTGAGGTGGGTCTGGTCTGGTCTCAGGGCTTAAAGCTGGTAGGTGTGGCTCTTGCCCCGGGAAAGGGGGTGGGGGACAAGGAACCTGGCCTCCAAGACACCAAGGTTTCTAGCGGGCAGAGGGCAGCTTTGTTCTTCCTCATGAGGTTTGCTTTGAGCGCTGTGGCCCCAGGACCTGTCCATGTGAGAAGCAGAGAGGCTCCAGACCTTCTAGTGGGGTCACCCCTGTATCCTCCAGCCCTCTGTCCCACAACACGGGCTGGGGGAAAGAAGTGACGATTTGTGGCAGGGCCACCAACCGGCTACGCTCTGGGGCTGGGGGAGCCGGGCTTCATGGCAAGGCCCGGCCCTGGGAATTCTGGACCCCCACATTCTGCCCTGGCTTTGCCCTCTGCCTCCAATCCAATCTCACTCTCTTCCTCACCCCATGCCTGGGGCCTCAGTTTCACCCCCTGTAACATGGGATGGGGGGGACAGGCTGATCTCCTGTCCCGCAAAGTCCTACAGAAGCATACTTTGATTTTACTGTGTTATTAAGATGACGCTTCTGGGACTGTAGGCGACGTCTGGTTATGTTCCCACATTCCTGCCACTTTTCCCTGGTTGGGCAGGGATTGCTGGAGGCCAGCTGTGCCCTGGCCGGGGATGCCCGCCCCATCTGGCCAGCGGCCCCAGGGCAGTGTCTCTCGCTGTTCTCTCCCGGGCTCCGGCACGCCATGGATGTCAGGGAGCATTTGTTGGCGATGGCTGTGGTCCAAGGCGAGGCCCCAGCCCTGCCTTTGACCAGCACCTCTACAGAGTGGGGTCAGGCCTCCTGCGCCTGCACAAATAGAAATTAGGAGGCAATTAGCCCCCCTGGGTGTGTGAATTTCCTTTTGAGGTTTTAGAGGCAGATTTCAGGCAAACACGGCGTCACTAACAATAATACTACTTTCCAAGGAGATCCTAGCAGGAGATCACTGGCAGAAGATTTCCAGGAAGCCCAAAGCCAGCATGCCAGGAGGCAGAGATGCATGGGAACGGGCCGGGCAGCACCTGCTTGCCCCACCATGGCCACCTCCTTGGTGGCCACAGGGGGCCAAGAGGTCACCTGTCAGCAAAGACTGGATGGATTAGGGTCCGTGGCAGAAGCCTTTTCTTGCAGGTGGCGGTGGTGTAGGGGAAGAGAGTAAAAAAAGGGGTCAAGAGCCCTCAGGATTGCTTTACTACCTTTGATGAGTTGCTTCCTCTCTGAATCACATCTGTCAAAAGGAAGATCACAGACCAGCTACCCCACAGGGCTGCAAGGAAGGTAAAACGGGCAAGGTTAATGCATTGTGATGCCAAACTCTGTGACATATTGGCTGTCACCTTGGCGGCTACACAAGACATATAGCAAGCAGTGCCCCAGAGCGTGGTCTGGGGACTCAGGCTGCCTAGGTTCAGATCCTGGCTCCATCACTTACTGGCTGTGTGTCCTTGGGCAAGTCACATACCCTCTCTGGGCTTCTGTTTCCTCATCTGTAAACTAAGATAGCACAAATGCTAGCTCATCGGGCTACGGGGAAGATATAATAGATTAATGCAGGGCCTGATTCAGGAGAGAGCAGAGCCAGGGCTCACAGGAATCTCCAGCCTCGGCAGTACCTGACCGACCCTCCCCAGGCTGCAGGCGAGGCAGAGAGCTTGGGAGAGACTCGAGTTAGGCTTCAGGGAAAGAGGTGTTGAGACTCACAGGAGAGGGGAAGGGACTTTGTGGCCACCGAGGGCAGACTGGCCTAGAGCAGGATGGTGGGGGCCAAATACATTCATCCCCGCGTGTCCCCCAGGACCTGGCTGCTCCACAGAGATGCAGGATGGCTCAGCCCTGGGGTAGGAAGAGGGTACGTTTCCTGGTTTGCCTCTCCCGATGTATGACCTGAACAAGCCCGTCAGCCTCTCTGAGCCTCCATCTTTCTCATCCGCAAAATAGGAATGATGAGATGGACTTTGTGGGTTGTTGAAAAGATTAAACCAAAATGTGTTTGTAAATCATTTAGCTGTCTCCCCCCACACAGGGAGCTCTCGGATATGACTGTCACTGTCCCCTCCCCACCCCCACCCCCCAGGCAGGGCAGGTGCCACACTCTTAGCTCCGAATTTCACCACGGGCTCCACTGCCTCCTGCATTAGGTCTGTGGGCCTTCCAGTCAGTTCCGTCAGGGAATGAGCTGGGAATGGGGAACATTCCTCACCCTGACATAAGTCAGCAGGAAATTCTTTTTTTAAAAAAATTTTAAAAAATGTTTAATTTTTGAGAGAGATAGCATGAGCAGGGAAGGGTCAGAGAGAGAGGGAGACACAGAATCTGAAACAGGCTGCAGGCTCTGAGCTGTCAGCACAGAGCCTGACGCGGGGGTCGAACCCACAAACCGTGAGATCATGACCTGAGCCAAAGTCGGACACTTAACCGACTGAGCCACCCAGGCACCCCAAAGTCAGCAGGAAATTCTTGAAGCCACAGTCCAGTCGGGCTGAGGGTTTTTAGAACTAGGACTTTGGAGGCTATGGGTTCTGAGAGTGAAGCCCAGCCCCACCCCTTCCCGGTTCTGTGACTTTGGGAAGGTGGTGGAAGCTCTCTGAGCCTCGGTTTCCCCGATCTGTAAAGCGGGGAGACCCATCCTCCCCCCAGAGCGGTCATTGGGAGACTGGCTGGCTCCCCGGCGCCCCCTGCTGGTGGGCCACACGGCCTCCCCGCACGGTAGTCCTGAGCGGCCCGGCCTGGACCCTCAGCGCCCCCTGCTGGCGGGGCCGCCCCGTGACCCCGGCTTTGCCCGCCCCGCCCCGCCCCGCCCCGCAGGATCGTGCAGATGCTGCTGCCGGTGACCAGCCGCACGCGCGTGCGCCGTAGCGGCATCAGCCCGCTGCACCTGGCGGCCGAGCGCAACCACGACGAGGTGCTCGAGGCGCTGCTGGGCGCGCGCTTCGACGTGAACGCGCCGCTGGCGCCGGAACGCGCGCGCCTCTACGAGGACCGCCGCACCTCGGCGCTCTACTTCGCCGTGGTCAACAACAACGTGTACGCCACCGAGCTGCTGCTGCTCGCGGGCGCCGACCCCAACCGCGACGTCATCAGCCCCCTGCTCGTGGCCATCCGCCACGGCTGCCTGCGCACCATGCAGCTGCTGCTGGACCACGGCGCCGACATCGACGCCTACATCGCCACGCACCCCACCGCCTTCCCCGCCACCATCATGTTCGCCATGAAGTACCTGTCGCTGCTCAAGTTCCTCATGGACCTCGGCTGCGACGGCGAGCCCTGCTTCTCGTGCCTGTACGGCAACGGCCCGCACCCGCCCGCGCCGCCGCCCTCCAGCCGCTTCAGCGACGCGCCCGCCGCGGAGAAGGAGCCCGGCGTGGTGCAGGTAGGCAGCGGCGGCCGCGCGCGCCCCTCGGAGCCCGGCTGGCAGCGTGGCCCGCGCACCCCGCCGGCAGTGGACCCCCGTGCTTTAGAGGCAGCGGGGCCCAGTGGCTCACAGGAACAGTTCCATCCTGTGTCTGCTCCCTGGCCTTGGGGGGTTTAAGGAAACCACGGTGGAAGGGGGATGCGTGAGACGGAGGGGTCCATCCCGCCGCCTGGCATAGGATGCTGAATGACCCGGCTGGGGATGGAGGTGAGAGCAGAGTGGCTAAGAGCAGAGGAGGTTGCAAAGAGGCACCCGGAGGCAGGACCTGTCCGTGGTGGTGACTTAAAAAGCCAGAACTTGGGGGCACCTGGGTGGCTCAGTCGGTTAAGCGACCGACTTCGGCTCAGGTCATGATCTCACGGGTCGTGGGTTCGAGCCCGGCGTCGGGCTCTGTGCTGACAGCTCAGAGCCTGCAGCCTGTTTCAGATTCTGTGTCTCCCTCTTTCTCTGCTCCTCCCCAACTCGTGCTCTAGCTCTCTCTGTCTCAACAATTAAAAAAAAAAAAAAAAAAAAAAGCCAGAACTTGAAATGAAGAGGAGGCGAGAAACACCCTTCTCTTAGAGATCAGTGTAGCGGTTCATGGGAATCGTTTCCGGTCCACTCGCTATGTGCAAAGAAGGTTATGTTTATATTACCTTAATTCTCGTAAAAAATAACCCCGAGTTGTCAGGCTTAGAGAAGTGATGTCGCAGCTGCCTGCCTCTCACTTTTGGCCGCTGAGGCTGTGTTGATGAAGAGGGGCATGCCCAGCGACCGGCGTCCATACACTCCTGCCTGCCCCGGCCTGGGGGCCCCGGACAGATGTGCCCACAGAGGCCCTGCCTTGGGTCCTGGGCGCGCTGGCAGCCGTGTGTGATTGTCTTCCAGTTCTGTGAGATCCTGTCTGCCCCGGAGATGAGCCGCTGGGCAGGGCCCATCATTGACATCCTCCTGGACTATGTAGGCAACGTGCATCTCTGCTCGCGGCTGAAGGAGCACATCGACAGCTTCGAGGACTGGGCCGTCATCAAGGAGAAGGCAGGTAGGGGCCGCGGCCGCTGCTACTGGCGGGTCACCCTGCCCTACGCAGGCCGGGGACTCGGGGCTTGTGACTGTTACCGACATTTAATGAGCATCCGCTCCCTGCCGAGCTCTGTGCTGCATGTCACACAGAGGATCTCCATGACTCTGTTCCGTGAACAGAAGGCTGGCCCTCAGAGAGAGGATGTCATCTCAGCCAGGGCCTCCCGGCTAGCTGGTGGCGGAGCTGGGATTCAAACCTAAGTTTGACCAAACTCAGCGTCTCTCTGCCAAATCTAGCAGGTTTTAAGCAGTTCTAGCTCACCAGGCGTCCTGGGACTTGTGAGCCGCTGAGGCAGGGAGGCGGGGTGGAGGGGAGGGGTGGTCCCCCGCATTTCAGACGATAAAGTGCATTCAAGGCGCCTGGGCGTTTGGTTAGAAATGCAGATTTTGACTCAGCAGGTCTGGGGCAGGGCTGCGCTTCAGCGTGCTCCCAGGTGGCCCCCATGCTGTTGGTCCACGGGCCACGTCTGGAGCGACACTGTGGCCTGTCCACTGACCGTCCAGGTGCCTCACGCCCCAGTGCCCGACTTCTCTCTTGCCGCCTTCCTCCTGGATCCCCGGGCCCCCGTGAACGCAAATGCACTGTAGGATTTTTCATTTGCACAAATGCCTGGGAAGCACTTGAATTGGACCCTTGATGGGGTTATCGGAGCAGCGACAGGAGACGGTGGTAGTGACTTACTTGCCCACTCATCAGGGCACAGCGCTAATGCTCTCTAAACATTCACTGACTTTGTGAATAATTGGGGGCTATCGCAGTGGTCCTCAGCCTCTCGAGGACTGTGGAGCAGTCCACGCTGAGATGTTGGCCCCACCCTGCCCAGTCCCCCTCGGCCCTCCCTAGAGAAGGGTGATCCCTCATGAGGCCTAGTCCCAGGGACAAATGTGCAGAACCCTTCGGTGTGCCATAAACATTAACAGCTAGAACAAATTGTTCGTAACCAGTGTCTATTTGGGTAACTTTATTTTATTTTTTAATGTTTTATTTATTTCTGAGAGAAAGACAGGCAACGTGAGTGGGCGAGGGTCAGAGGGAGAGGGATATACAGAATCTGAAACAGGCTCCAGGCTCTGAGCTGTCAGCACAGAGCCCGATGCGGGGCTCGAACCCACGAACCGTGAGATCATGACCTGAGCCGAAGTCGGACGCTTAACCGACTGAGCCACTCAGGCACCCCAATCTGGGTAACTCTAAAGCCCACGTTCCATCTATAGGACGCGCCCCGCAAGCTTTTTCATTTGATGCTGTGCTGTGGACATTATTATACTGAACAGAGGGCAGACAGAGGCCCTAAGAGGCGGCGGGAGCCCCAGGGTCTTCGAAGGCTGCCAGGCCAGCGGCCCAGCCCTGGTGGCCCTGACCTCTGCTCACCGGTGGCCTTGAGGCTTCCTCCCCACACGCTCAGTCTTCATGCAGTGGAGGAAGGGACTGAGCTTCCCAGAGGGGAGGCTCTGTCCTAAGTGACACCAGGCAGCCAGAAATGGATCTGGATGGCATTTCACCACCGGGCGTCTCTGCCGTTGTTCCCACGTCCCCTCCGCGTCCCGATCGTCCCCGGCCGGCCACGGCCTGCTTGGCTCCGCGTTGCTGTTTCCCCGGCTCGGGATGCCCCTGCCGCCCTCCTTCACCTGCCCATCTGTCAAGGCCCCGCTCAGATGGCACCGTCTGGTGTGCAAGCCTTCCCTGTAGTGCTGGGCCGGCCTCTCTGCGTCTCTGGCCGGGACCACGGGGCCAGGCGGCGAAGGGGTCAGCATGTGTTTCTTGAACGAATGAGTGGCATTCTCCGATTCAACACACACCTTACCTGTGCCCGACCCTGCGCCCAGAACTGAAATAAATTGCCCTATTACTGGACACATCAATCCCTGGGCCTCCCTCCCCCCTCAGCTGAGAAACCTCCACTGTGTGAGGTATCCCAGGAGGACTCCCAGGAGGCAGCAGCCGAGTGGGATTTGGGCACATGTGGGGAGGTGCCCTGTCCCTGCCCCCACCCTGGCCTCTCTGCACCCCCAGAGCTCAGAGCCTAATGCCATGCACGGGGGCACTTGAGAGGTCGAACTCCCTGACTCCTTGCTAAGGCTGTGCAGGGGGGAGGGGTGGGCTGTGTATACAGAGGAAGGAGCTCAAGACTGAGGGGGAGGGCGGATCCGGTTCCAGGTGCCTCCTCCGGGAAGTCCTCACCTGTGAAACGGGTTTGTTCCCACCCTCGCTACTGCCTTGGGCTGTTGCAGATCAAGGAGAGGCGACTAGGGCGAAGCGCTTTGCCAGATCTTTTCAGTAGGCAGGGGCGGAGCCTGGCAGGAAGGTCCCAGCAGCTGCCCCTGCTCCCCCCCCCGCCATCCATCGTAGCGCCTGGGTGTCTCCCACCTGCCAGCGCGCACAGATGCAAACTCCTTGCTGCTTGCAGACAACCATTGGCGCGTCTCTCTCTCCCCTTTGCCCCAGAACTTCCGAGACCTCTGGCTCACCTGTGCCGGCTGCAAGTGAGGAAGGCGGTCGGGAAGCAGCGCATCAAACTGCTGGACGCGTTGCCGCTCCCAGGCAGGCTGATTCGGTACCTGAAATACGAGAACATGCAGTGACCAAGAGCGCGTGGAGGAGAGGCTCTGCGGACTGTTTCACTAAGCCTCAGGACGGCAGGGTCCCCAAATCCCAGGGGGCCTGGTGACAGAACGGGCCTGTGGGCTGGCCTCCCTGTCAGCTGGGGCAGCTGCTGTCACCTCACCAGGTCTCTGGGCCAGAGCTTTGCCCGGACCGGAGAAACACAGTGCGTCAAGTAGGAGGAAAACCCCGTGCTTGTTTTCAAATGGATGAGTAGAGCCCCAGACCTTCTCTGCCGATGGGAATGGCAGAGCCCCATTCCTGGCGCTGGGCGAGGGGGCAGGGCAGAAGCGGGGTGGGGGGGCGGGGAAGGTGGGAGCCGGCAGGGCAGCTCCGGGGCCCCCCTCGGCCCCCCACCCCGACGGGGTGGGGGTGGGGAGGCAGTGGCTGGAGCGCTTTCAGGTAAGAGTCTGCCTTTCCAAGACAAGCTTGCCGCAGGGCCATCCCGGTCCCCTCTTTGCTCTGCACAACTCTCCACTTGACTTCGGAGCTTTCTCCCCAGAGGTGTGGTCTGGCGGGGGTGGGTGGGAGACCCAGTTCAAGTACAATAAATGTTGCACAGATGACATCTTACCCAGCAAAGTCCCTTTCACCCGACCCCGCCTTCCCGCAGGGCCTGGGTCTTCAGCGCTGCTCTTGGCCCAGAGTAGGGGTGGGGCAGGTGCTGGGACAGGGCGTGCAGACCCTGGAACGTGTCACCTTTGGGCTTCCAAAAGCCACAGGAGAGCTGGCACCTCAAGGAGAGTGGCGGCTTTCTGTTCTGTGAGCGGAGCGGCCTGGGGTTGGTTTTTCTGTCCTGCTTCAATCACCATGGAAACGGGAGCCCCTTCGCAAGCAGGGCTCCGTGTCTACAAGTCTCCTGACACCTGGGATTGCCTCGCACACACACGTTTCCTGGCAGCCTGTCTTCGCGTCCTGCTCACCCCTGTTTTGCCATAAAAACTGAGATACTAGGAAGGAAGAGAAATTAAATATGGGCCACCGTGAGTGAAGGTGCTGGGGCGATGGCCACCGTCAGCCCCTTGCAAGGGCACCAAGCCCGAACCATGAAGCCCTGTCCCCTCTGTTGTCCCCCTGGGTCCTGGTGTGGCTCCGTGGGGGCGAGCCAGGCATTTTCAGGAGCTGCCAGCCCATTTCCAGAAGAGCATGGTCGTAGCACCTTCTTGGGCTGAGCTCCTGCGCGAAGACCAGCATGGCCTGTGGCCGTGGCTTCTGTTCAAAAGCGTGATTAAAGCCACGGGAGTCCAGGCTAGTTTGCGGTGACACCGGAGCGGGTGACCTTGCCTAGAGCTTGCACCACCGCCACCCTGGATCTGGAAGAGTCAAATGTAGTTTCTGGCCTTTGCAAAGTGAACCCCTGGGCCGCTGGGGGAGAGCAGGGATCAGGGCCGGCTCTGCCCCCCGGCTGCCCCTCTGGGGGCCTCTGGTTCCCCATCGTCGTGGTCCCGGCGGCCTTGCCAACCCTGCATCCTGGCTTTCCACAGGGCCGGGAAGTCCCAGTGTCTTCCGGAACACGGAAAGTCTGCCAAGCAGCACTTTCCAGCCACGGCCGGAGGGGGCTCCGTGCGTCTTGCCCATGCCTTCCCAGTCCTCACGGGAAACCAGGGAGGCACTTGCCCAGGCACACGAGTGCGTCCTCAGAGACTGGAGATGTCCCACCCGGGGGCCAGAGAGGGAGGGGGATACCTTGACTGAAAATTGCCTATGCCCACCTGGCAGCCAGAGGGAGAGCCCTTCGTCTCTGGTGGGAGTCGAGAATGAGCGGCAGCAGAAAGGTGTTTGGGTACATTTTGGGGTGGGCCCTGGCATCAGGCCAGCTCTGTACACTAGAGCATTTTCAGGTTACCCTACATCCTGGAGATTCTTCCTCACAGGCGGTGGCCACACGCACTGGGGTCCCTGGTGGGGACTCTGGTCTGAGGGCGGTGCCCCCTGGAGGAGGTAAGGTTGTGGGGAAGGAGGGCTCAGCCTCAGCGTCAGCACGGGCTCCACTGACTAGAGGACTGGTTGGGGGGGTGGTTACCCGGGACTGGGATGCACCACAGCCGCGCTGGGTTCTTAGGACACGAATGCTGGAATGCTCTTCTATACTTGTTGGTCACAGGCGCTGGTCAGGGCCCCTCCTCCCCAGGTGTCTTTCCCAGCCTTGGCCTTCTTGGGTCCCGCCCCCCCCAAACCCCAGAAGCTTAAGGGTTAAGGCCTGGGCTGGTGCCTGTGCCCGAGGGTCCGTTCTGATTGGCTGGTGCTCAGGCCAGTGCTTGGTTGTTCCTTTTCCAGGACCCCACTGCCCCAGGGAGGACTTTGAAGCCATAGCCCCTCTGCACAGCCCTCCTCCCCGCCCCCCATCCTTGGGCCTCAGAGATGTCGCAACAGCATCACCAAACCTAAAACTCTTGAAAGTGGTTCTGTTCCATTTCATGGGCATAGCACGTGTGACATTAGTGCGGAAGATGAGAGGCCAGGAGGGGAGCTCCTGGGTTTCACTTTGAACAAGACGACTCACTTTTTAGTCAGGGAATCCTGTGCTGTGGCTATTTTTATTTATTTCTTAATTTTATTTTTTTAAATGTTTTTATTTTTTGAGAGAGAGACAGAGCGTGAGCTGGGGAGGGGCAGAGAGAGAGGGAGACACATACTCTGAAGCAGGCTCCAGGCTCTGAGCTGTCAGCAGAGCCCGACGCAGGGCCTGAACCCACAAGCTGTGAGATCATGACCTGACCTGAAGTCGGACGTTTAACCCACTGAGCCACCTGGGCGCCCCTATTTTTATTTTTTTAACCACAGCTTTCCAAGATGTGTTTTTCCCCGACTTGCTTCTGCTGGGGGAGTCATGGTGCGCGCGTTTCTGTCCAGCCGTGAGTTTCTGCTTCCAGACTAAGGCTCCCTATGCTTGCATTCATGCATCGCTAGGGTGTCCCCTGGGGCAGGGAGCCAGAGAGGGGCTCTGGCAGCATTCTGAAAAAGCATGCCTCCCAGGGCTCTGGTCTTCCCTGGGGGAGGGGATGGGGGGGGGGAACAGCTGGATGACCCAGATGTCTGATAAGGACATTTTGGCCCAGAGAGGTTAAGTAACTTGCCGAAGGTCACGGAGCCAGTAGGTGGTAAAGCCTGGATTAGAGCCTTTAACACCCTGCTGTGCAGTGTGGAGGGGCTGAGCCTCATTGGAATAGGTCTGGAAGGGCCTTCATAATCTGCAGGGGGACAGGAGGCAGAGGGGGATCAGACCAGAGCGGCCTGCGTTGAGTGTCCTGAGGCCTTTCCCTGTGTTCTACATGATGGCTCAGAACAAGTCTGCCCATGTCACATGGCTTCTGTGGCTCTCAAGTCCTCTAAGACCATCAGACCAGAAACTACCCGAAAGCCACTGGCTTTTCCAGTGAGCAAGCTGCCCTCCCATATGGATGCTCTGGTCCAGGGGAACCTAGAGTGAAACAGAGTAGGCAGGGCCCTTCACAATCGCTAATCCTGGAGCCTTGTGTTAGAAAGGATTCAGGGTCATATCTGGCCCCCAGGGGAGAGTCTGTGACTACTTGAGGACACTTGCCTTGGGTGCAGAAATGGCAGGTATACCTGTTTGCTATCGCCGACCTAGTCCCGGACTTTACAGAGGGGGGAAACTGAGGCACAGAGGGAAATGAACTTTCCACATCCCGCTGCTGGTTAGGGGACTGTAGTCCCCAGCCAGGGCTGGCCCTGCACCTGTCCCAGTGGTGAGGGCTGTGCTTTGATGGGGTCTGTGCGCTCTCAGCCATGGAGCCACTGCATGCACAGAGCGAACCCTGGGCCACCATGGGGGTGCACGCCTCTCCAGCGGCTTTGCCACTTGGGCACCATCAGAGCAGAACCCAGAGCTGCTGCCTGCTGCCAGCATCCTGATCTGTGCATTGTCACAGGCAGGCACCTGGTATGTGCCAGGCACTGAGCCAGGCCCAGGAAGAGGGCCATTCGCAGGTTACACAGGAATCTGACTTAGCTAGAGTTTTTTTGTTTGTTTGTTTGTTTTTGGCTTGTCCACAAGGGGCCAAGCTCCAGTGTGTCCCGATTTTCCCTCTGGCCAGGGTCGGGCACGATTGCATTGGCTCAGCCTCTGCTCTGAGGCCATAATCAGAACGGAAAGCATAGCAGAGGGGGACCATGCTCATCCCACCCCTCAACGCTGCAGGTGGGTCCAGGAGGCCCCGGGGAGGAAGGGTCCGGCACCACATCCCATTGCATAGCCAGCCATCCAGCCCCACCTCCTCCGGGACTGGCGTCCTCATCCTCTAGAACACTTCGGACCACCTGGAGATCCCGGCCTCCCCCACCCTCTCTTCTTGGACCTGGGCAAGCAGAGCATCCTTTCCCAGTGACTCCTCCCCAACCCTCCAGGTTGAGATACCGTAGAGGTCTTTGGGCCACCCCTGGCCTCCCCCACGGCCAGTGGCCTTCATAAACTGCCCTCTGCCTGGGCCCAGCCAGCATTTCTTAACCTGGGGACCATTCAACTTCGTGACATCTGAGGTGTGGAAACTGCAAAAGAAATGTCTTTATTCTTTTAACTTTCTTAATATTTACAAAACCGAAAAAAAAAAAAAAGAAACCAACAACCCAAAAAAGGAACAGAACTGAGATTGGCTCACATAGTGGGTGGCAGGTGAACAGATGTGTAGCTCTGGCTTCTGGAGGGGCTGGAGGCCAAGGCAGAGCCCCACCACCCAAGACCGGCACAGGACAGTGGATGCTCGCTCCGGCTCCGGTCTGGCTGGAGAGGGGCCGGCGGAGCTCCCAAGGCCCCAAGGGCTGACTTGGCACCTCTGGGAGAAGGCCCTGGCCCGATCCTGTCCTCCCCTCTCACCCACGCACACAAAGGGAAGGTTCCCAAGAGGCCACACCACTGCCCAGCTCACTCCTCACACCGAGAGCTCCCGGGGGCCCCCCACACCCCTACTGGCCAGGGGTGGGAGCCGAGGGCCTCCCAGCCCGGCTAGAGGTAGCCAAAGACATTGAAGATGGGTGGGGGCACAGCCGGCTTGGTGGGGATGGGCTTCAGAACCACGGGTCTGTACACTTTCTGGCCCGGGCCATCCACATCCTTGCAGAAGTGGGCCAGCTCCCCCGGGGAAGCCGGGCTTTTCCTCCATAGGCTCAGCCCGGGGACCGGGCTCTGGGTCAAGGCCCCTGGAGGGCCTGGGTAGACCGGCTGTCCATGGTACTGGAAAGGGCAGCAGCTCCAGGCATTGACACGGCCCACCAGGGAGACTTCAGACATCTTGAGTGGCTCCTTTTCGGCCGGTGCCCTTGGGGACGCAGGCACTGGGGCCGTCTCGGGATCCAAGGGCTCCAAACCTTTGCAGTGTTTCTTACCCTCATAGGGAGGTCCCTCCCGGGGGCCCAGCCCCACCTCCAGGCCCAGGGGGTAGCTGTGGGTGGGCCGAGGCTCTTCCCAGAAGGAAGCGGGCAGCTGTCTTTTCCTCATGGGCACCTGGCCAGGCCTGGCAGCTTCTGGATTCGGCCCCTGTAAGGTCTGCTCCTTAGAGAGACATTCCTCCCTGTACGGGTTCCCCAGAGCCTTCTCCTTGCAGCCCCCACCCCCGCCGGGACTGGAATCATGGCCAGACTCGAGGGGCAGCCTCCCTGGCCGGTCCTCGGGTCCCCGCTTCAGGTGAGGCTCGGCCCCTCTGCCGGGGAGGCCCCGAGGAAGCCGGGAGTACTTCTGGGAGAAGCGTTTGAGCTGCTTCTGCAGGTACTTGCGGTGGTCCACTGAGCGGCGGCAGGGTGCGGACTTGTCCAGGGCCGCCTTGATGTCACTGGAGGCCAGGTTCACAAAGTTCAGCAGCATCTTCACGTCACTGTCGGATGCCATCACCAGGAGACCACGGCATGGGGCTTTCCATGAAGAGGGTGGGCTCTGCTGGTGTCTGGCAGCTCCAGAGGAGGGCACGGAGCTGACCTGGGGGGACACACAGGCCGTCGGGAGTCTCTCCGAGCACCCGCACCCAGCCCCCCACCCCTCAGTGGTCCGGGCCCCAGTACCCCTCAGCCCGCAACACAGTCCCAGACCCGGGGCTGTCGGCATCTGTGAGGGAAGAGGCGGACACATCCGGTCTTCTCAAGTCCATGGCCCTCTGCTGCGGCGGAGGCTCAGAGAGGTTGGGCGACTTGCCCAAGGCGGCCCAGCTACAAGTGGCATTGCTGGGGCTGGAGCGCAAGGCTCCACGTGCCCAGCCCACCGTGTCTCCCACACACCACGCTGCCAACGTGCACGACTTGCCAGCAAGGTTTTTATTTTCTGGGCTGAGGCAACTGCTCTACTTTAAAGCAAGGCCAAGCCCCTTCTCTCCCCTGCGGTGGTGCCCTCCCCCGCCCCCCCCACCCCGCCCCCAGGCCTGCTAGCATCCACCCCCCTCTTCGGCGCCCACGCTCCACCCCCAGCGCTCACGCAGGACGGGCAGGACCCCCGTCTGGCACTCGAGCCTGGGCCTGCCTGGCGGGCTGATCTCAGACTGTGGGCAGCAGGGCTCCCCCGTAGAAGCATCTGCAGCAATTTCATGCCTCCTGGGCCACCACCCGAGGCCCTTCGCCCCTCCCCCAGGCCCCAGCCTGCCCCACGCCCCCACCCAGGCGGCGGGGGCCTCCACACTGACCGAGGGTGCGGGCCGGCCCCGGGCCCCCCGCCGACGTGGCCTGGCAGGGTCCCCGCGGCAGACCTGGGCCAGGCCCGGCGTGGCCGGCGAGCTCCGCGCGTCCGGCGAGAAGCAGTCGTGCAGCCCTCGAGTGGGCTGGATGGAGGACGAGTCCCCGGAGCTGGGGGGCCCCTCAGGCCAATCAGGAGCGCCTCTCCAGATACAAAGCATCCCAATCAGGCGGCAGCGCCCCGTTCCCACATTCTTTGCCGTCACAAATTGTCACCATGGGGACCATCACAAAAAAGACAGCTCGCAAATGCAATCATTTCCCGGTAAATTTCTACCCTTCAGCCCCTCCTCCCCTTGACCTCGGTTCCCTGGTTTCTTGAGGGGGCAGTGTGTGTGTGTGTGTGTGTGTGTGCGTGTGCGTGCGTGCGTGTGTGCGTGCGTGTTTAAAAAGTCCAGGGTTGAGGAGGGGCTGGGCCCAGAAGAGATGGGCCCGCACACCTCCCCCAGAGACTCCCGGCCCACAGCTGCCATGCTCCAGTGCAGACAGACAATCAGACGGGGTAAGCCGGGGCGGGCTGCCTTCCCCTCTGTCCTTGAGCGTTGAGTGTCTCTCCCTCTCTCCCTCGTTTTCTCTCTCTCCCTCTCTGGTCCCCTCTCCTGCTGTCTCTGTCTGTCTCTGTCTCCCTCTTCCCAGGCCCCTCCCCGAGGCACCGGGCACCGGCCAGCCTGGGAGGGCAGGCGGCACACTGATGTCGGGAAAGGTAGCCTGGGAAGGACTCCCTAACGAGGTGCTGGGATATCCATGGGAAGGGAGCCGGAGCTCTCTGGAATCTTGTCTTTATGTTTGCTTCCTCAATTGAGCTGCACAAAGCCTGAATTGCCCATTCAGCGCGGCCGGACAAAAGGCTGGCGTTGCACGGTCCCCTCGCATTTGTAGTCAAACAGTTAGGGACTTAAATCGAGTCGTCATGATGGAGAAAGAGGTGGACAAAGCCCATAGAATTGCCATCAGCAAACATTTTCCTGTGTCATATTAGCCAGTCTCCATGGCTCCCCCTGGCCTGGGGACAATGGCACAAGTTTGCACACTTGGCTACTGTCACCGTGCCGACGCCGGCGGGGCCGCAAGCGGCCGCTGCGAGCGAGCAGGGGAGCCCAGGGCCCAGGGCCGGCCGCTGGCCCCGCCCACTGACGGCCCGAGGGAAGGAGAGGCTGCGGCCGAGGGAGGCCGCAGGGGAAGGCTGCCGGGTGCAGCCTCCGTGCCAGCCAGCCGACCTGGGCTGGCTCTGCGCCGCCTGCCTTTCTCTGCTCAGCCTCCTTTCCCCTCCTCGCCTTCCTCTTCCTCTCCTCGCGCCACCCCCCACCTCCTCTTCCAGCTTCTCCTCCTGTCCTCCGGGCAGCTGAAGGGCTGGGCTGGCGGTCTACACCCCAGCCACACCTCTGTACCAGCATCTCTGAGGTCCCCTTGCTCGGCCCCCAGGGGACTCACCCAGGAGGACGGCCCCACCCCCTCCTGCTGGCCAATAGACTGCTGCTGCACACAGTGGCCTGGCTTCCAGCCACCTGCCTCTCTGGCCTGAGGGTCCCTACAGGCCAAATGAAGGGTTTGGAGGAGAGGGCCCTGCGCCCACAAGCTGTACCTTAATTTAGGTAGAGAGGATCCGGTGCAGGATTCTCCATGCCCCGCCCCCTGCTGAGGATGCTGGGGAGCAGGGGCGGACACGGAGGTGTCTCTGGACGGGAGCATCCCTACTGCCCGCCATCCCCTGCCCTGGACTGCGGCCCCTCTCAGCAGTGGCGTGACGGCTAAATTACTGTTGCTTTAAGCGCTGAGATTTGAGGGTTGTCTCAGCGCTGCCTGACCGGTGCAGGCAGGAAACATCCTTTTTGCTCCAAACCACCCGTTACACAAGGCTGCCCCGAGGTCACCAGGTGGGACTCCCAGCTGCCCCCTGCTTGGGGGCCAGGACACACAGCTGGGCTAGTGTTCGAATCCCTCCATAACCCAGCGCTGGCCCGCTCAGCCCCCTTCTGCATCCTCCTCTGCTGGGACGCTGGCCTCAGACCAGCCCACCCCATTGCCACTGTAGCCTCCTGCTCGCTGGGTCTGCTCGAGCGGTAGCCCACCTGGCTTGGCTTGCTGGTGACATCATCCCCTCAACTGCTCCGCCAATAGCAAAGCCCCAGGGTCAGCGAACTTTGTGGGGTCTGAGTCTATATCTTAAAAACTCATTCCTTAGTGCTCTTAATATGGGCTTTTCTTCTAGTGTGTTCTTCCCACTTACTGAAGAGAGAGGAAGGAAGGGAGGAAAGAAGGGATGGAGAGAGGGATGAAGGAAGAAAAGGAGGGAGGGAGGAAGGAAGAGGGCGAAGGAACGGGAAGGAAGCAAGGAAGGGGGAGGAAGAGAGGAAGGGAGAAAAGGAAGGAAGGAAGGGGAAGAAAAGAGGGAGAAGAGAGGGAGGGAGAGGAGGCGGGAAGAAACTGATACTTGGTGGGCACCTCATACGTGCCAAGAGCTGCAATCAATGATCACACTTGAAGGCCCGCCTGACCCGCGACAGCTCACCGAGGCGGCCGCTGCTGCCGTTTACACACGAGGGATGTGAGACTGAGCTGCTTTCTCAAGGCCTCACAGCCAATAACTGGCAAACCTGAACTTGAAGCCAGGCGGGTCTCCTTGCGAAGCCCATGTCGGTCCCACCGTGCGCTGAGTCCCTGAGCTCCCACCCAGCACCAGGCTCCGATTATGCGCTGCTGGGTTTGAAAGCGTCGAAAGCCAGATTTTGAAGGTCAGGCCTGGGTTCGTCTCTTCTGTGCTTCTGTCGGAATGAGACTCTTGACGTCTGCCTCAGGAGTATAGAAGCCACAGCTCTGGGACGTCGGTTGAGGGGAGAGGTGGCAGCCGTGGCTTGAAGGATGGTGGCCTGAGATCCAGATCCGGGGTCCTATCGAGACCCAGCCACACCCAGGCCTCCGGCCGGGCCTCTGGGGGCCTGTGGCCTCTGGGACGTCTCCTGCGGGGTTTCCCGGCAGGTCACATGGACGGGTGGAAGGTGTCAGTAATAATGAGCATGTCTTATTTCTAGAAAGACTTCCTTCCACAGGAGCTCGCTCATCTGGCCCTGCGTCCGTACAGGCAGGGAGTGTTGTCCACGCGTACATTCGGCGCCCCTGCCAAAGGCAAGCTGCCCAGCTCAGAACTGCTTAGTCAGCTTTCCTCTCGGCAAGCTTCAAGGCCCAGCTCAGACATCGCCTCCTCCAAGAAGTCTTCCACCGACTCCCAGGATTAACAATGACACCCTCTCCCATCCCTATGTCTATAGATTCAAAACGAAGTTTAACCTCCTTGGCTTAACCCAGAAAACCTTTGGTAATCTGAATGTTTCATGAATCAAATATTTTCCCATCCCACTGAATAGAAGTTATCCTGTGGATTGGAAACAACCACTTCCTCTATTTGTTTGTTTGTTTGTTTTTTGCCCCACCCACCCACCCACCTCCACTTGAATGAGCTCCATGAGGGCAGGGTACAACCTCTCCTTCGTCTCCATGTTTATTTTCGTAGACACAGAGAACGGCCTTCGCACGAGCAGGACTTGATGAAGGAGCCTGGTGATGGCTATGGTTGTACTTGACAATGAATTCTCTGGGCCCCTTCTGGACTGTGGGTACCTTGAGAACAGGAAGCACCATTTCATAACTGCATCGCCCTGCACCAGCCGGGGGCACCGAAGGATCTGTTGAAGGCACGTGAGCGGTGCCGACTTGAACTTGAGAGTTCCTTCCCCATCATCCGACACGGCTGCAGGTCCCTGACTTTCCAGCTGCGCTAATCCCTCTTCAAGGTTATTTGCACGGCTCGGGGTCAGGGACTCCCAGGTTCGAGTAACTCCATTCAGCACCTACCGTGTGCAGGGACCCCAGGGCACGGTGGAGAAGGGCTTCCGTGGCTTGCTCCCCTGTCCCCAGTGCAGCTTGCTGGAGAGGAGATCAACTCTGTTCTGACAACTAAACAGCCGTCTTCTGTCCACCCATCACGGGGACAAACACCTAACTGTCCCTGGTTTCCACTACCAGCAGCCACCCATCCAGAGTCTCTGCACGACATCTGACAGAACCCACTTCTAGGATTTAGCCAACACAGGCGCAGATTGTAACCAGAAGTGAGAGGGGGCAGGTGACGATGACATGAGCCCACCCAGCCAGAGGGGGCGCCCCGCGGGCAGTGGCCTTTCAAACTGCGTTTACACAGAGAAGCCCGTTAAACAGACCCTTGCGGGAGTCTAGTAGCTGAGATAGTGACAGGGACGTGCTAGGAGCGCAGGTTTCTTGTACACATGCAAATCCAGTATTTTCCGCTTATTTTTCCAACGGCAGATTCAGACCGGGAGGCTGTTTTGATGACCCAGAACTTCAAAACCGGGGGTTGTGGGTTATGGTCTAGTATCAGCCATATATGGGTCTCGTTGCAGGAACTCTAAACATCGTGACATAGATACGTGGCTAAAATGGTAATTTTTTAAAAGTCCACCTTGCTATCTCAGGATAGTCATCAAATGAAAACGATTTCCTTCCCCCTCCCCCACCGAGAAGCTTTATTATCTAGTCCCCTGAGCGGTTAACCAGTTAACCTCCCAGGCTAACCCGTCGCCAGCCCAGTGTGTGAGCTGGTGAGTTACAACCCGTTTGAGTGTGTTTGTCAGTACGGTTTTTAGCACGTAATATTTTAAATTGCCAAAAGGAAATTTTAAAGGAAATTTTACGTTTCCATGCCTCTGTAGAAAGTTCAGCTCCACATGAAGAAGAGAGGCCTGGACAGGGGAGATGATTCGCCCCAGGTCAGGCGGTTCTGCACCCTGACCCCTGGTCACAGTGGCGCAGGGCTCAGAGCTCAGCCGGAGCCAGCACTCGCCACCGGACCAAGGTATATGATGCATAGCAAGCCATTTGCTCAACTGAGGCACAAATCTGAAACTGAGGCACAGACCATCATGGAAACGTGCCCAAGGTCGCCTTCTGGTCAGTAAATGGCAGAGCAGGGATTGGGATGCCAGCAGGCAGCTGGGTCCAGTCTCTTGGTTGGTGACCATCGCGTGGTACTGCTCCCTGCTGACAACTATTAACCAACGAGCAAGCCCCGCCCCCCCCACCTCCCCGCTCCCTCCCAGGGGCTTTGCTAACCCAGAGAGCCAGGCACGCCCCTCCCGCCCCTGGTGAGTGAGGTCTGACCACCTCAACTCCGGAAACACACAAACGCCACTTCAGAGGCGCAGCGGCAGGGCCAGCACCTCGCGGACGTTTGACAGACATCACAAGATGATTTATGTAACCCCCTTATATAATGGGAGTATTTCTCTCAAAGACTGGCCTGAGGCAGGCTGTCA